ACCACACCAGAAAAATACTGCATGTCTCATTTTGTCTGGTCTGGAATGCACTGCAACTGCGGGCAGGTTCACACTATTTTCCGGACCAGATGTGGTCCGGATAATGGTATGAACCTGCCCTCAAGAAAAAAAGGCCTCAGAGCAGAAACTGGCAGGATCATCATGTTTTTATTAATAAATTAGAAGCACCAATATAAGAAAAAAACCTTGCACAGCTTGTTTTACAAAACCCGTTTTGTATTTCCTTAAGGGAAATCGATCTGCAGTTTCGGTGCCATGCACTTTAAAGAGGAACACTAGTTAATCTGTGTTTTCATATCATAACTTTTAACAAGTGAATGCCTTTACCTATTTTTTGTGCTTGCAATAGGAGAGCCTATTGTGTAACCTGAGAGCTCTTGACACCTGTGCAAACTGTGTAATTTCCCGCACATCACTGCATTGCGGTGATTGACGGCTAGCGTCTGCAAAAACAAGACCTTCTTTTTTTTTTCTGGTCTAGGCTTCTTAGCTATGACGTGCTGCACAAGAGCTTCACAGAATACTGAATAGAGCATAAACACTCTATTCTGATAGCATGTTTGGTGGTAAATGGATTTAGGGCCCTGCTAGACAAACGAAAACAACTTGGTTATCCAAATAAACAGGTTTGCTTACACACTATATAGCCTACAGTTTTGCAGACATCGGATCATCTCACTTATATGAGCTTGTTGATGTCCCATTTCAAAAACACAGGCATTATAATGGAGTTTCGCCCCACCTTTGCGTGATTTTTTTTTTTTGGGTGCGAAAATTTGTGGCCCATCCAGAGCATTGGTAAGGACAGGTACTGATGTTGGACGTGAAGACCTGGCTTGCAGTTGGCATTCTAAATCATCCCAAAAGTGGTAAATAAGGTTGCGGACAGGGTTCTGTTTAGGCCACTTAATTCCTCCACACCAAACTTGTAAACCATGTCTTTGAAGAACTGGTTTTGTGCACAGGAGCACAAAAATGGTGGGACAGAAAAGGACCTTCCTCAAAATTGCTAAAATATAATTGTATGCTGTTGTTGCATAACTATATATTTTTTTCTATTGGAAACACCTGAAATTAATAATTTGTAGGGCAAGCCCCATACTTTTGCTTACTCTCAGTGTCACACTTACTAGGGATGTCCCGATGCCACTTTTTCAGGCCCAAGTACATCCCCTCATGTACTTGCCGATACCAATTACCGATACTTTTTCTTAAAGGGACAGGTGACTTTAAATGATCGATAGTACAACTACATGTTATATACTATGGATCATGGTTTAACCTATTCATGTTAGCAGGGGAGAATTGTAACTCTATTGCTGGAGTGTAGTGGAGGTGTGTGCTGTATATATGTACTACAAATACATTACACACGTCCAGTACACTATAGCAATAGATTTACAGCCAGCCCCGTCCCAGCTTCCCTTACTCACAGTTTCACTCCGATCCCCGTAGCCTCATGCGGTGCCTCTTGTAGTCGGCGCTGGGCAGGATCGCTGCATCGCATCTCGGTGCTCAGCTTGTGGGAGGCGCTCACAATTCTGCCCTGCTAACAAGAATAGGTTAAATCATGATCCATAATACATATACAGCACATACGTCCCATACACTGCAGTAATAGTTACAATTATCCCCTGCTAACATGAATAGGTTAAATCATGATCCATAGTACATAACATGTAGTTGTACTACGGATCATTTAACCCATTCATGTTAGCAGGGGATTATTGTAAATCTAATGCTGCAATGTACGGGACATTTGTGCTGTATATGTACAGTGCATACAGATATACAATTCTGCACAGCTCACTGTACTACGCATCATTTAACCCATTCATATTAGCAGAGGATAATTGTAAATTTGTTCAGTGCATTCTATATGTAGTATATAGTACATGTACATATAGAGTGCCTGCAACAATACATTTACAATTATCCTCTGCTAACATGAATGGGTTAAATGATCTGTAGTACAGGGCTACATACAGATCATTTAATCCATTCATGTTATTATGTATTGTCTGCACTGTATTAGCAGTATGTGCTCTATATGTAGTATATAGAGTATATACTGCTAATACAGTGCAGACAATACATAATTGCTTAATAAATCCCCCCACCCCCCAAATCTGCCCTCACTCATTGTGATTCACTGTGCCGGAGAGAGCAGGGACGAGTCAGCGGCAGCGCTGGTCCAGTGGGAGGAGCTCCAGGTGGGGTCCTAATTTAGCTGACTTAGAGGTGCCTGCCAGCTAAATTACAACCCCACCTGGAGCTCCTCTCGCCTGGCCAGCGCTCCGAGCGGGGTCATCTGGCAGTCTCCGGCCACCTAAATTAGGACCCCGAGACTGCTAGATGACCCCACTCGGAGCGCCGCCCACCGGAGCAGCAGTGACGCGACGCTCGGAGAGGTAAGTAAGAAGAAAAAAAAAACATAGCGCAAGCTTCAGCGCTAGGCTTCGGGGCATTTTGACAAGTACAAGTACTTGTCAAAATGCCCTGTATCGGGCCCGATTCCGATGCTAGCATCGGTATCGGGACATCCCTTAACACTTACCAATTCAGGTTTAAAAGAGTTTGTGAATTGAGTTGCTTGTGTTTTTTTAGTTTTAGCGTTCATAATACTTCTAGAGTTTAGTGGAGGGATTGGCAGAGTGGGGTGGCAGCACAGAGTTTGGAAAGTGGATGTGTCTGGCAGCAATATTCATTATAGACTGAAAGAGGATAGCTTGTAAAGAGATAGGCCAAAGAGGAGGGAGTTGCAATAGTGGTCGAGAGATAACCATGAGTAGCTTGGTGGTGTCACTGGATAACGAGGCGTGTTTTGGAAATGTTACAGAGATTAAGGCAACAGGATTTGGACAGTGTTTGGATATGGGGCTGAAAGGAGCTCAGAATCCAGGATTACCAGGAACACCGTGCACCCTGGCATGAGAAGAGGAACTGATGGTTGTGCTATTGATCTCAATGGAGCAGTCAGGGGAAGGAGCACAGGGGGGAATATTAGGAGATCCATTTTTGTAAGATTGAGTGTTAGAAAGTGGTGTGACATTCATACTGATATGTCCTTTAGTGATGGACGAGATCTAGATATAGACTAGAGGGGGTCCGAGAACAGAGCCTTGGGGGCCCAGGTATTAGACATCATTGGCATTCTCGTAGAGGATTGTGGTGGGTTCAGGGATTTTTACCGCAAATAGCGTAAAGCAAATCCCATCTTCAAAACAAACAATATATATATATGACCACTATATTTCAATTCGAGTAGTTATTAAAAAGACTGTTTTGTATTTTACTTCTAGTAACGTGATCCGAACCATGAAAGCTTTTTTTTCCCCCCACAACCTTTTGATGATGCACAGTTGTTGTACGCTTCTGTTTACTGAATCTTTGCCAATTTACAAGGTGAAATTTGATTTTTGCATGGGGGCGAAAGTGCCACCTAAAGATCATCAGCTAAAATAACACTCAAGATGCCAGAGCATATTTCCAGAAGTGCCAAAGATGAAGTAACCTGTTCTGCCGGAACCATGCCAAGCATATTGAAATAAACCCCGAGGGTTTGTTGTATAGAATGCAAATTGTGCGCTTCTTTTCCTAGTAAGGGAAATGGCCACCCACTCCCAGAGATACTGCCTCTGGCTAGTTTGCAAGACTTAAACCATATACGTAACCTGGGTGTAGCAGTTCAGGTAAATTCTCTCACCTCAGATACCACCCATCATACTTCAATCTGATGAACATTGCAAATATACAAACACTTCCTACCCAAAAGAAGATCTCCCAACTGTAATACATTTGTTACCTTACAGAGCATATTGAATGATGTGAATACAAATCACAATAAAACCCAGACACAGATGATAAACTCTTGCATACTTTTTCAGAACTGGACACGATTTTAAGCTGGTGTTGCAATTAAAGTCTTTCAGATTGGTTTTGGGGGCTTTTAAGGCGCAGGATTGCAGCTTCGCACAGTCTCTAGTTAACTGGGGAAAGGTACTATCCCTCAGTGAAGCTTCAAGTATGTCTTTATCCAAAGCTTAGTTTAATGGATAGGGTAGGGAAATGCTGAAACCTGTCTCAGATGGGGAGATTTACCCTTTGTTTATCCTAGTGATCACTGTCACTGGGACAGATATGATGAAATTAAAAATGTCAAGGTTGTCATTAGACAGGGTTGGAGAGGAAATCTTCTAAGAGGGACCGCTTTTCAAGTTACAGCTAAGAGAAGATATCCTCTCGCTTTTAAAAGATTTCTGTTGTGATTTGGGGGTAGAAAGTGGGCCAAAAAAATGCTCACAGGGGTTTTAACCATTTCCTAATTTAAGGGCAGCCTCACACAATGGAATTACATGCATATGCATGTGGGTTATGTTATGGCAGTCAATTTTGAATGGATTTCCAATGCACCACAATATAGCCAGAATTGGACATGACCCTTTGTTTAACCTAACGGTGCGTTGTGATGCATTGCAGTGCAGGTCTGTCGCCCTCTACTACGTTAGTGCATTGGTTTTCTATTCAAAATGAATGGCACTTCATTGTAGTACATGCATGTTTTGCCCCTTGTTTTTACCACAAAGCAGAATTGTAAATGGGCCCTTTAAACTAGACATTTCTGCTAGTAATACACTTAGAATTCTTTGACTTCAGAAAACTAGAGACCAAGTTTAAAAAGAACATATCCCAGTCATTCGTTTTCTGAGTATGCAAATTTGTAGCCATGGGAAATTTCTAAGCATTCCATATACAATGTAAATGCCTCGGCCTCTAAAAAGGCCATGGGTGTCACATTTTGCAGTTGTAGAACCAATATATGGTTTTGAAGGTATGGTCATTTTGCGTTCCAAGGATCCAGTCATGGAAACCCAGTTGGGCTCCTCGCGTCAAATTGCTTTTCTATGATTTTTAAATAATTTCATGAAAGAATAAATGTTTTGTAAACTGATTATACTTCTGTTTCCTTTTTCCTTCAGGGGCACGATGAGGAAGCTGTAGTTGATCTGGGGAAAACCAGCTCTAGTATTAACACCAACTTTGAGAAGGAAGAGCTAGAAAGTGAGTATCATTGTGTGCAGCTTTCTTTCCCTGTGCATGCGTTTGGTCTTTAATCCTTCTGATCATTTTGTCTGTTTCAAGTGTGCTGATAATACAAGAACAGTGTCAGAACATGAGCACTGGTTCTTAAAGCAGCTTACCAACTAGTGTAATATGATGTGCCCTCTGTCCTGATGCCATACCCTTGGCGAGTATCTTCTTGGTCTGTCTACAGCAGCAAGTCTGAATGTAACATAAAAGAAATAAAGTCATCTGGATTATACTGTAGTCATTGATTGCAGCCTTTTGCAGGGTCTGAGCTGTGTGTTTTCGGGCCATGAAATTATTTGTGGTTATTCCTTTGCATATGCACTACTGACTTCTGTTTCTTGGAAGCCCTCACCACACCTTCCAGTCTGCTGCATGACACAATTTCCGTTAGTAATTTTCACTTTACAGGCTCCATTCCCAAGCCACTAAATGTGCTATGCTCACGTTTACATCCCTGCGTTAACATTAGATGAATATGTACAGTAGAAATGTGTTGATGTAGAAGCATAGTATAGCATACTCTATTAAAGTTAAAAGAAGGAACTGGTTGGGTGGCAAAGTGTTCCATATATTAATCAACGTTTAGCTTTACTATTGTCTAGTAAATGTGTACCTGTTTGGGGAATCTTTCTTGGGTGGACTTGTTTGAGCATCCAAAAGGAGAATTGACTTGCATCAAAAATTGCCACACACAGCAAGGCATTAAATGCTCAAATTACAGTTCAGAATACAGTAGTGATAGACACTCATTGGCCACTTTATTAGCTACACCTTGCTAGTACCTGATTGGACCCCTTTTGTCTTTAACTGCCTTAATTCTTTGTGGAAAAGATTGAACAAAGTGCTGGAAATGTTCCTTGGAGAGTTTGGTCCATATTGACATGATGGCATCACGCCGTTGCTGCAGATTTTGTCAGCTGCACATGCATGATGCAAATCTCTTATTTTACCATATTCCAAAGGTGCTCTATTAGATTGAGATCTGGTGACTGTGGAGGCCATTTGAGTGCAGTAAACTCATTATCATGTTCAAGAAGCCAGTTTGAAATGATTTTGGCTCAGTCACTTGCATCACCTTTCTTACCCATTCTAATGCTCCGTTTGAACTTCAGCAGATCGTCTTGACCATGTCTACATGCCTAAATGCATTGAGTTGCTGCCAAGTGATTGGCTGATCAGATCTTTGCGTTAACAAGCAGTTGAACAGGTGTACCTATCAAAGTGACCAGTTAGTGTGTAATCGTTTACTAAGTTGCTTAAAGAGACAATGTCCTTTGCCCATTTAGGGCATTCAGAGTTTCTGTAAAGCCCACCCTCCAACACACCTGTAGTCACCTTTTCTCCACTGTTGCTTTGTCAGAACTGCTTCAAACTTTCTGGTGCTTCAAGCTATGACTGAACATTTGACTTTCTCTCATGATGCAGTGTTTGGGCCTGAGTGGCCAAAGTGATCGGTCCAAACAGAGTGTGCTCTGTATACCAGGTCACAGCAGCTGTCCTTCTGTTGGCTTTTGGGAGGCGAGAGCAGAGGCGTGGCTTGCCATCCTAAGACTTCAAAGTTGGGTGTTTTTGTTTACTCGCACAGTTCCTGGTCAGGAGTTGGCACGCAAGGGTGGCTCCATAGAACCCTTAGGCCCCATTCACACCTGACCGTTTTGTAGCGCGTCCTACGCTCGATGAACGCTCTACAAAACGGTCAAAAAAATAAATAGCATTGTAGTCAATGGTATCGTTCCCACCTGTCCGTATTTCCGCCGTCCCGAACGCACTACAAAACGGCCCACGCATGAAAAGGTCCCGGAGCGTTTTTGCTGCGTATTGGTCCGTTTTGTAGGGCGTTTTCCATTTGGATACTGCCAAGTAGCCTTTGGAATCGCGCAACGGTCACACGACTTTTTTTACCGCGAATCGCGGTAAAAAAAACGCGTGACAGACGCGCATATTACAATACGCATAGGTGTGAATGGGGCCTTAAGGGAAAGGAACCACCCTGAAACTGGAAAGATTTGCTAGCACTGAGTGAACCAGCTGAATTCAGAGGGTAGGACAACTGCAATATAGCAAGAAGCAGCATATGCTGTAATTCTGCACCTCAGCATTAGAAATTGCTAATAAAAGCTAAAGCTTTAATGTCACTTTTAATGCAGCAATGCACTAGTGCTCACTGGAAAGGAAGAGTAGGAATATCTCCCCAACAGGGGCACTCAGAACCTGAAAATCTGCATATATGGCCAGGCAATGTGGACACCCCTCCAAGGTGCATAAAATCAAGCACTTGTCAATGCAAGCATACTGCTGATGTTACAAACCCATATTAAACAGTTGTGTGCTACCAATCTTGTGGCAACAGTTGAGTGAGACCCTTTTCTCTTTTAGCATGAATGTGCCCAGGTGTACAAAGTTAGGTCCATATAGATATGGTTTGATAGGTTAGTTGTGGAGGAACTCGAGTAACTTGCAGAGAGCCCTGTCCTGAATCCTATTGAACACCTTTGGGATGAAGTGGAAAGCCATTTGCAACCAGGTCTTCTCGTCCAGTATCAGTATTTGAACTCCCGAATTCTCTTTCGTGTAAATTCCACAGACGCACTCCAAAATGTTGAGAAAAGCCTTCCCGGAAAATTGGCAGCTTAATGGCCATGGTTTTGGGATGGGATGTCCAACAAACTGCTAGAAGTGTGATGGTTAAGTTTTGTCTTGTTTATGGCCATATAGTGTAGATATGGCTGGAGTTCCATTTTAACCTGCACAAAAAAAAAAAAGAAATAAGTAAACTAGGCTACTTTATGACTTTTAACCTAAAACCAGTTCAGTGTTCTGGCTCTAATCTTTTAAACTTGATTGAGTCACTCGACCTGAAATAATTATAGAGCAGTGTCTTCATTCACAGAGCAATCATCAGATTTATGTTGTTTGGCATACATAAGAAATGTGATATGGAGCAGAGCTCATGGTTTAGGTCACCACTACATCTGTCTGTGTTTCGTTTTAAGGTTTTCATTGGTAATTAATGCACTGACATTTTTACCGTATCAGGAGAGTAAGAGTGTATCTGATTACGTAATGCATTCCAGTGGAGAGGAGCGAGAAAACAGTCAGGGAAGAAGCTTCTTCCCTATCATCAGGTAGTCGCTTGCCATGTGCTGGTACCTGATTTATGATGGCGGCGGTATGGGGCAATATTGGACAATCTATTGGGGGGTCTGTTATCCTTTAAAAAAAATTAAGCTGCAGTCTAATCTGCCTCTATAAAACTTTCTGTTTTAATGCATACCTTATTTTAGGACTAGTGATGTCATTACTGGGACTTTGTGATTGTGTATGTGATGCAGGCAGACCGTGGCTAGTGAGAGGGGCCTGTGGGGAGCTGTACATGGCTTCCTAAAACTATCACAGCACCTTGCCTCAGTAATCCTTTAGCTGTAGACTGGCTACTTTTTTTGGAGAAGTTGTGCAAATATCAAAAAAACCTTGGTGGGTTGATGTCAGGAGGAATGCACGTTCCTAGACAGACTGCATTTGCACGCAAGCTGCAGGTAACATTTCACCATACATATTGGTATATGCCCTTAGAGCTTCCAGTCTCACAATCTTCCTAAACTCCTATAGAACTACTAAAGCGCGTACACACACACACACACACACACACACACACACACACACACACACCAGTGTCCGTTTTGAGTAGAGTCTAACTTAGCTCATTTACTTCCTCAGTCTATTTTCTCTAAGCAGTGGTTCCTTGTTTTAAGATAGTATTGCAATTTGCAGTGAAAGATGATAATCTTCAAAGTGTCCGCCATACTGCAACATCTCACAAACAGCCCGCATAGTAAAACATTGGTTGGTTTGTTTCTTTTGTATATATTTTTTATGTTAGTAGTCTGATGGAGGTGATATACTGGATACTTATTCCCTTTTTATATTTAGTCGCACTCATGTGGATTAGTTATAACTGCTCTTAGCCATCAAACTGACTGCTCATTCGTCTGTGAAGATGCACATCTTTGATGTTCACCAAGGCCAGGAAATGTTGCTGGTGAAGAAAGGCAATAGCATGAAGAGCTTGCTGACATGGATGTACACATTCATTGCTTTGAGATTCAGTATGGGGAGGATGCCTCTTTTGACTTAGTGACCGTGAAAAGTTTTGAGTTAAATCTCTGAAAACACTTGGAGACAAACAAGAGACAATGGTCACCAGGCCAACGGAGAGGGTAATTCTCAGCGGCAACACAGACCACAATAAAATCCCAAGAGGGGTTCCAACTGTCCCTATTCTATCCAAAACTGTTAGTATTAGAGGACATACTGCTGTAAAATATAATTGCACTTATTGGGTTTAAAAAAACCCATTCAACCTCTCCTCTGCATGTCAGGTTTTTACCAAGGTCCTGCCTCCTGTCTTGGCCCTTCTGTGGTAACGGGGCATTCCTGTCAAGAGTATTGCATGAATTCTTCTGAAACTGTTGTTGGCTCTGGAGTACATCATGTAAGGACTTCGGCTGCATCCGGACCCTGTGAAATTTAGTCCTAGACAGCTTTCTGGTTACTTTCTCCCAAAAGGGAGAAATGCCTCGGTCATACTCCATTCTTGGGGTCCATGGCTTTTTGATCTCATAGTGGGCAGAGTTCCTGCTGTTGCATGAGAGTCTTCTGGCTGGTTTTGAAGTTGTCTTTTTTCAGGTCCAGTCCCAAGCCTTCAGCAGAACATTCCGTCAACGGGGGGAAATAAATCTTGTCCCTGGACAACACTTGGCCCAGTTTGTCACTAACATAATTGCTCCTGCCTTTGACATTGCACTTGGGAAAATTTGTTTCTTTCACACTTTTGGAAGATCCTGATGCCAACCCTTAGGGCTATGGAGGAGTCTGGCACTCTGTCAGTGCAGGGGGCTTGGGTCGATGGTGGAGTCCCGGCTTCCAAACAACATCTTGGAACTCTTGTTGATCCAACTGTGCTGGGCCGATTTTTGTTTAATCGGTCACCTGGATTGGGCTCAGTTGGACAGCGCCATGGCATATGTCAATCATCAGGGAGAAAGGCTTCCTCTGGCATTAGAGCATCAGTTCATTGTGCCCTGAGCATAGCAACAGCTTTCTCTGCCATGTACATTCCCAGCATTGATTGGCAGGCAGATTTTCTCAGCCTGAATTTTCTAGGCCCAGGAGAGGTCCCCAGGCCTTGAGATCCTTTTGTCCGAGGCAGTGGATGCTCTGTCGAATCATTACACTCTGAGCTATGCTTTTTCACCCCAAAGCTGCTTTAGGGAGCATACTAGTGCACCTCATAGCTCTGTATTGTCCCAGGAAAGCGTCATATACCAACTTTTTGTAGTGCAGTTGCTCATAGATATGCTGTTGGCCATTTAGACCATCAAGATCTGCTGCCACAGGAACAGATCTTCTATCCTTGGTCATTACCCATGCTACTGCTTGCTACAAACAGAACATGCTGGAAGGGAGGTATGGTTATAGGCTCTGGGCTACAGTCCTTTTGTATTCTGAAGACTTATACCTACAAGAGGATCAGAACTAGTGTCACTTAATGGACTGCAGAAAAGGGATTTTACGGATAATACGGCAAAAAAATTTCTGTGCTTTAACATTTTAAATCGATGAAACGTGGAGAAATATATATGTATTGCAGAGATTTTTTTTTCTTTATCCAGAAATAAACTTCTAGTGCGCATTTGTTAAATCTGATGAGGTCAGCATCGTCCTCATTAAAATATGTCATGCTTTTTAAATATGTCATGCTTTTTAAATAAGTCTGCAGTTTATTGCGTGACTTAGATGGGTGTGTTTCCTAATTACATAACTGAGGAAGTTTTATTTCCGGCTCTAAATCAATATTTCAGAGTACAAAGCCCATCAAGCCATGACTCAACACTGGTGCCCTAGTACAGTGAAGGCTTTGATGTAGTAATTACATACACTCCCATTTTCTGGAGAAAAAAAAAAAAAAGATCATGTAGCTTTAAGCTGTCTTTGTTATTAGTAACCTGTATAGCCTGACTATATATACATTTTGTCAGATCCGACTTATCGCTTGCAACATGCATGACACTTCCTGCCCTTCTAGTCATTTCTCAGTTTTAATCTGCTTTGGAACTTTCCTTTTGGTGAACACCCTTCTTTCAGTTTTCTTACAATTGTTTTTGTTTTAGCTGTAGAAGATTTTTTTTTTTAGTTCATTGTGTGTGATGATGGATACGGGATTATTAGATAAGGAATTATTTGATAAACAGTATTTAGGCTCAGAATGAGCACTAAATGGGCTTCTGAATTAGTTGATTATCACCTGATCCAACCTGTGTATCAGAATACTACGGTATGACCTTTGTAGACACTGCCTGGGCAACTAATCTTGGAGGAAGAATAAAAATGCACTTAGTAGTTATGCCCAAGAGGTTGATGCCAGAGCTTCATACTGCATGGAAGTGCAGGTTCAACTGATATGAATATGGATGTCTATGGCACATTCAATCGAAGATTAAAAATGTGGTGGCCAGATCTTTCAAATGCCTTATCTTGTTTGTGGCTACAGTTAATGACAGCCAATCTGACACTTGCCTCTATTGACAACCTTGCAATTCAGAGATAGAAGGTAACTATTGATTCGTTGCTGGTTAGCTTCCCAGCTGCATTTAGTTGTGTGCCTGCATTTTACATTTACTTTAAGGGCCCATTCACACCACATCCAGATTACCTCCAGACCAGACTGTTTCCGGACCCAAAATGCATCCCAATGTATCCCTATGCTATTTCTGGCCTCTGCTCCCACCAGCGCAATCCGTACCAGACCAGGAAAGTACTGCTTGTCCTATTTTGTCTGGTCTGGAACACACGAACGCACCTGTAGCACCATTTTAAGCTAGAGAAAAAGAAAAATTCCAATTGCAGGAAAACCGTGGCAAAAACGCAATGCACTATGTTCCAGATCTGGCCCGGAAAATGGTGTGAACCCAGCCTAAATGCACACGAACTACATACCAAGTGCTGGTAAACTCTTTTCTATCGTTGTGAATGGAGCAGTTTACATAAGCTGCAGTTTTGCTATTGCTGCCTTTTGTGTTTGTCCGGCGAAAAAGAGGAAACCAATTTAATATTATCAGAGAATACATCAACTCCTTTTTTTTTTTTTTATTGAAATTGTGAACTTCCGGCTTTGAACTTTCACTTGCTATGTTCATTGAAATAAAAAGGCAACAAAACTCAAAAACGTGCATACTGAATACACAAACAAAATGTGTTTTCAACCCGATTGATGTACATTAGACCTGTAACAAATGTATGATCAATTTGGGTATTTTAATTAAGATCGTTTAAATAACCGTCATCTATATTTGCGTATGTGCACATTTTTACTTCGGTATTCCCGATGTGATTTTATTTATATATTTTTATTATAATAGATTGTCACTGGTAAGTGGCCTGTGGAGGCCATTTCCTAGCCATAGCACGGAATAAGGTGAATTTGTCAGTAATATACTGAATGGCGTATCCTAATAATACTTTTTATGATGTTTTGCTTTTAGGTCACAGAGCTGTTTATATCGGTGTACATGTACCCCTTGGCAGACAAAGTCGGAGAAGACACAGACATCGGGGCCACCGACATCACCGAAAGAGAAAAGAAAAAGAAAATGACAAAGATGATGGCCGGGAATCTCCAAATCATGGTAAGTATAGAAGTCTCTTGTATGGCAGGTTCTGTCTGGTTTAGGTCATCTGCTTCAGACAACTTCTTCTAGGTGCATCGGTACAGAAGTGTAGTAGTAAACTGATGCAGTCTCATTTTTTGGTCGGTCTAGTGCAGTGGTTCTCAACCTGTGTAACCTCCCGACCCACATTTGTCTTGGTCATTAAGTTGAGACCAAATGGAACACCCTGTGGGCGGGAGGTGCGTTTGGGGTGCCATTCAAATGAATGGCAACGCAATGCACCTTCCACAGCAGAACGCGTAGTAGGCACGATTGTGTGCTACAGTGTGGGCTGCTGTGCTGTGACTGTGCTCCATTCAAACTCACGTTGCTTGTACAACTCCCGTGCAGGCCTTGTTGAGGTGCTGGGAGCCAGAATGTGATGTAATTCCGGTCCAGGCACCTCTATAGGTCACATTAGGGAGCTTTAAGGAATGCGTGTATGGATGAAGCTCTCTTGCGGCCTTAGCCCCACCCCACCTCAGACTAACACTCTGTGCCGGGCAGCATATTTTAAATGGCTGATTGGCCCAAGAACTGACAGTGCTGCGCTAGTGGGAAGCTGAGGAGCCTCTCATCTAGAAAAGTGGTAGGCACGTGGCGACCCACTGAACAAGGGGTCACAACCCACTTTTGGTTTACGACCCACCAGTTGAGAACCAGGGGTCTAGTGTGATATTTTACACAAAGGGCTAGTCCACTCAAAATACATTTCAATAATACCAGTTTGGTGTCAATTTGTATACTTACTCTGTGTTTAAAAATGTCTCAATATATGGTGAGTATTAAGTATCAAATGGATATAATAAAACAAAAGGGTCATTCAGCACCCTGTTTCATATCGTAAACTGACCCTCTGAAGCCCAGTTGTGCTCTTATATGCTTGTTATGATTAATTTTGCTTCGCATTGCCTTAAAATACTTTTTTCTCTCAGTCAAAGTTTCTTCTGGCCCTCACACTCCAGTGCTTTGTACTGGCATAGCTGAGTAATGGCCACACCCCTCATTCATTCCCTTTTACCACAAGCGCGCTTAAAGAGACTTTATTGTATTTTTGGGAAGGAGGCATGTCAAATAAATTCTGTTCTGAGTGCTGATTAGTTCATACACTGGAACCTTTTGAACTGTACAGTTATATTTAGACACATTTGCACAGTCAGTAAAGTGGAGGTTAGGCTATGGAAATGGAGACTGTTGGTACAACGTCTGACTAAATATCAATTTATGTAACTTTAATTGAACTTTAACCTACCATTTACTTTCAGGATGGCCAGTGTTTCACACCCAAGATGCTACAATTTATTTATTTAATCTAGAAATGTTGGAAAATGTTATAGCCTAAACCAAAAAGTTTACCAATAGCTTGTTGCTTTAAGTTTGGGAGTCAGCCAAGTCAATGTTCTAATCTGCTGGTAATCCTGGGTGCCACAGATACATAATATGATGCCGGTGAGACCGTATAGAGAATGACAGATTTCTATACAACAACAGATTTTCTGTCTTTGCTCTGGGCCCATCATGCTAGGCATCAATTTAGATTCTGAGAGCGTTAAACCTGGCCACTAGTGCTCCAAAAGGCACCTGCTGTTGTTTTTTTTTCAGTTTAGTTTATAATTGAACTGCGGATAAGTATTGTTTCGTATTTAATAACCTGCCATTGATTATTGACTTGAAGCAAGACTCTAATAATACAGCAACACTGAAACTGCTAGGCTTAGGATCCTCATGAACACGAAATCTTAATAATAAATAATATTATTTTATTTTTTTATAATATGATTACGAATAGTAAATGAACAAAGTTGCAAATTGTTGCTAGCCTGTGTCTTTTTATGTAGTTCCACATATGCAAGGGTGGGCCCACTTCTGCTGTGGGGGCAGGGTTTTTATTTTTTGGGCTCAACGTGTGTGTGGTGTGTGTGTGTGTGTGTGTGTATAATTTAGTGGTCACATTGCAGAATTGCCAGGATAACTATCTTCTAGCCAATCATTGCTGTTTTATAGATGCATATCTAAAAATTAAGTAGATGTGTAAATATTTTCTACATTTGTAAGGACGGTATTTGCTATTTTTAGCAATATCTGAATTGTATGTGTCTCATTTGCTGGAAAATGGTATGAAAGCTTAGATTTGTATATGTGGCAAATGTGTCCAAGACCTTTTATTTTGCAGTGTATGCTGTCACTCACGTTCTATACAATGAAAGCTATTTAAAGCATTGCTTTACTCCTTGAACAGATACCCCCTCACAGCGTGTGCAGTTTATTCTGGGTACTGAGGATGATGATGAAGAGCACATACCGCATGACCTCTTCACCGAGATGGATGAGCTTTGTTTTCGAGATGGAGAGGAATGTGAATGGAAGGAGACCGCAAGGTGAGCTCACTAAGCCTGTCTGTATGAGCACAGGCTATTCTATAGAGAAGACTGAATGGTGTCTCCATTGCTATTTAAAGGAGCCTGCTGCTTCCACTGCATGGAAAATGCACCCTACCTTCAAACCACTTTGTGTAGTTACATAAATTTGCAACACTTCCCCATACTCTCATAAGTAACATTCGGGACCCTGACTTGCTGTTCTCGCAAACACACTGTTGGTGGACCATATATGTCCTTTTTGATATAACCATAGATGCCAAATTACTGGGCCTTGCAAACTTTGGAAGGACATGCAAGGGCCGATTCAGTTGATGTTGCTCTGCTTACTTTCAGCACTTGGGTCCAGGATTCAGGATATAGTTGTAACAGCAGGGGTTTGTATTCTCTCATGCTCGTGTGACTTCCCCATATGTTCTCCAGTTTCTTATAGTAATCCCAAAACAGACTGGTAGGTCAGTGTGTGCCTAAAATGGTACTAGTGTGTGTTGTGTATCAATAGTTCATGCAGTTGCAAATTCTTTTGAAGACAGAGTGAGTTATTGGAGTACTCACTTTAGTTGCGTGCACAGAATAAATATGGCTGGTTTGAGAACACACGGGGCAGTTCAATTGACCATTTGGCTACATTTTTCAAAAAGTAGATTTAATTTAGGTTATCCCTTCGGTTCCTCAGAGCAAAGGGCCACTCTGTTACACAAGCTCTATAATACTACAGCTGTATGCCAGGCCAGGACCCCCTCCCTCCAGAAAACCTTACCTCCTCCTATTACCTCTTGTTCCCGCCCACTCTATCCTACTCTGTTTCTGCATATTCTTTATTACAGCAGAGTTCTCCTCAACAAGATGGAACCAATGTTCTGTTTGTCTATATCATTCCCCTTTTTAAAGTAATATTAAAGTGCAAACCTTTTTTCAATAATGAATACACTTTGAAAAAATATTTATTGCCTAGTAGAGTATCTCTATACATTTTTACCCAATGGCGATGAAACCGTCATCATGTTTCCAAACAGCTGGCTCCATCTCTCTCAGCTCGACTTCTCTGAACTTCCTGTCCAGTACAAGATCACAAGGGACAGAGCAATCTCCAGCAGTTGTCCATCTACTAGCTTGGAAGGGAGTGTGTTGCATTGCTGTACCTGCGTGTTTGTGGAGACGCACACAGCTTACTAGCACACGCAAGGGTTGCTCCATAGGACCCTGCAAGGGAAAGGACCCACCCTAAAACCCGATATCTGATGCAGCTGATTCTGCAGGAAACTAAAACTTTTAAACATCAAGAAGCAGCATCCATTCTAAGTGGTTTCACCAGCCTTTTAAATAGTTTAAAACATTTTGACTTTAATATCACTGTAATGTCATTAGGATATGTGTTGCAGGGTCTTGTTGCTTTCTTTGAATGCGACTACCTGGCTTATATCATCACACTGTATGCCTCCCAGTGCATTGTAGAAACACTGTTCCTAATCTTTGTTACTACTTGTACACTTTCCTATTAGTAAAGAAATGCACAGAGATCATATGACCCCCTCCTCCTCCCCACCACCTATTAATAGGTTCCCTTGTATGACAACAATCCTTAATTTTGACATCCCTTTAATGTAACATAATGATTGAGAGTAATGCTAGAAGAGATGAGGCCCCAAGGAGAAGCGGTAATGAGCACAGTAAAAGAAAAAACCAATGTATTTAGATAATAAAGAAGGGGAGTGTATAGTTCTAGCAAATAATTATTTTCGGAATTCTTTAGAAGGTTAGACTCCTGGAATGCCGCTAATGTGGCATGCAATGGTGATTATGAACTGTAAAACTAGACCCTGCTCCGTAGCTTTACCTCTTTATGTAACTTTATGTATGACCACATAAAGTTTATCGGCTGTTCTATGTCCTTGCTTCCATTATTCTTTTGAGGCCTCATTCACACGGGGCACACAGGGGGCATATACCTCCTGTCTGCGTCCAAGTGTGCAGTTTGGGTGTGCGTATGGCCACGTTCTCTCTTCGATCGCACACAGCACCTGTCCCTTTTGGGATCGGCCGTGTATGAGCATGCACACTTCACGGACGTGTCATTACAGCACCCATTTGAATAATGGGTAGTGGGATATCGGTCAGGAGTGTGATGCCACATCTTTAACCAGTTGACATCCGCGGTGTTAAACCTTGCGGACGGCAAGAGGTTAAGGGCCCGTTCACACCATCCAGTGCATTCAGGGCATTGTTTCCTGCCGTATTCGCATTGGTTGGCATACACGAACCATCCCTGTGTTCTGAGGCAGGAGGGGACGTGGTGGTGCCATTCATTTCAGTGACACCGCAGACACGCCTCCTGTCCACAATGCGATTGACCCCACTGCGTGGATTTGCAATGCCTTGCCTTCCAGTGCGGAGCATGATTTTTTTGCGATTGCACCGCACTGGAACACAGGGCATTGCGGTACCACGCGTTCCGGTGAGGGCGATCGCACCGTGGGCAGAAGACATGTATACGGTGCCCGTGAAACGCGGTGAGGCTTTGCTTATGTGATCCAGAACTGTGCCCTAAATGCACTGGTTGGTGTGAACAGGCTTTAATGCTTGTTGAGTCCACACACAGAGGATGCTGTTGCATGCTGGCTTTTGTTACTGCCACCGAACTGCATTGAAAAGCACATATCCGTATTAACAACATAAACACCTGGTGCACTTAGCATTTGGGCCATAGATATTGCACTGTGCTCTACTATCGGCTTGTACTAGAACCTGGAGTTAGCAGTGAACACTGAAATGTTTCAGTTTAGAAACATTGAGCAGCTCTACCCTCTTGTCTCCAATCCCACTGCTTGAACCTCGGTGCATGGTAAAGCTTCCGCCGGAGCCTCCACTGGGCAATAGGTAAAAAAACGGCACTCACAAGGGGATCCGTCCATTTAATACTTTATTTGTAAAAATGCACAACAGCAGCAACCAAACAAATGCCTTACATGTTTCAGCCCCCAAACTGGGCCCTATTCGTAGTAACTTGCTACGACTAAGGCCCAGTTTGGGGGCTGAAACATGTAAGCGTTTGTTTGCTGCTGTTGTGCCTTTTTACAAATAAAGTACTGGATGGAGGGATCCCCTTGTGAGTGCCGGTTTTTCACTGAACTGTTTATACAAGGAATGTGATTTAAAACGGCCATCAAAGATTTTTCACAAACAAAAATATTTACTTCTGAAACAAGGAGTACAGTCCCACCACTAAAGTACTGCAAAATGAAAATGTAATAGTAAACACCTCGAACATGTGAAATGCTAGACATAATAGGCAAAAAAAATACATACTAAACGATATCTGCACTCAAAACTGTTATTTAGTATTAAAAAAATTTACTTTTAATAGCAGCCGTCTGCATGTACTGCAACATTCTGTGTGTCTTTGTGAAGCGATCCAGTATCTTGAGGCTTGATAAAGAGGCAACCCCTCGAAACGCGTAGCCACTGGAGACACCCGATACTTCTCTACCCCTATGACCACAGCCCGACTGCCAGCACTGACACGCGGCGCACGGGGTCACTCAGCCGCACGTAGCTCCTCCCCCCTTGCTGTCTGCCCCTGACGGACGCGGCTCGGCCCGGCCAGTCGAGTTTGTGGACGGTCAAACAGATGCACATCCATTCCAGACCAGCCTCCCACACCACCGGAGACATCAGGATCGATCCAAGTAGACGATCGTACAGACAACAGGGGAGCTCCTAATTGTAAGTCCCCTTTTCTAACACTGTGACTTTGCCATAGACACCTAAACCCCACACTGTAAAGATCTAATAGTGTGCCTGACTCTGTCCTCATCTATATGTCTACTGGTCCCTTCGCCGGATCATACCCACCTACTCACACACAAGGAATTTTGGTAGTTGCGCTCCTGATCTTTTGTTTGTTTTCGTGGTTTCTAATAGACAGGGTCCTCTCCCTGTAACAAGGAGATCTGCACACCTTTACATAACAGCCACCTGTTTGAAGCCTGTCTGCCCTACAGGAGTGCGCTTTATCTTTTGTGTTTTTTATTTGTGAAGCGATCACTATTCACGTAGGTATAAAAAAACAAACTTTACATTTCCTGTGACAATATTTGCATTTGATTTTGGTTTTAGATGGCTGAAATTTGAGGAAGATGTTGAAGATGGTGGAGACAGATGGAGTAAGCCTTACGTGGCCACGCTTTCACTACACAGTCTGTTTGAACTGAGAAGCTGCATACTTAATGGCACAGTGATGTTGGACATGAGAGCCAGCACTATAGACGACATAGCAGGTAATGCATGATCGCGATGTTTCTGATTTAGGATCAGAATGTTTACTGCTATTGCAGATGATTGTGCAGAGGATCATGTAAAAAGGGCAGATTTAAGATCTCTGTAGAGATAAGGTGATCAATGCCCCACATCCAGCTGATAGAGGCACCTGCAGACACCTTAATCAGAAGGTACTTGATGGAATTATCTTTTTGGCTTAGTTGGATTATTTCCACCCATTGCTATAATTTCCCTAAAATGTTTGACACTCTGATCGCTGCGAGCTTCCTGACCATTCTATGAACATGCATGTTTAGGTGATCTGACCTTGTACATTATTATTATTATTATTATTATTATTATAATACAGGATTTATATAGCGCCAACAGTTTGCACAGCTCTTTACAATATAAGGAAGACATTACAATCACATTACAATTCAAGACAAGATGATGAGGAGGGCCCTGCCCGTGAGGGCTTACAATCTAAAAGGGAGGGGCAAGTGATACATGAGGAAGTAGCTGTGTGGGGATGAATTTTTTGAGAATGTGATGGTTCAGTGGTTACTTTGAGGTGGGATAGGCTTCCCTGAAGTGATGAGTCCTAAGGGATCGCCTAAAGGCAGTCAGAGTAGGATATAGATGGTCAAGTTGGGGTAAAGAGTTGCAGAGGCTGGGAGAGACTCTAGAGAAGTCCTGGAGGTGAGCATGGAAGTTGACGGGCGAGCTGGAAAGCAGGAGGTCTTTGGAAGAACGGAGGGGACGGTTAGGTTGATACTTTGAGACAAGGTGGGAGATATAGCCAGGAGCAGAGTTGTGGATGGCTTTGTAGGTGGTTAATATTTTGAATGTTATCCTTTGGGCTATTGGAAGCCAGTGTAGGAATTGGCAGAGGGGGGTATATGCATGCATTTGAATACATGATTGCCAGTACAACCATCAATCTTCTAAGATTATTCCAGCTCTAGTTTAATGTTTTTTTATAATGCTATTGCAACTTGGATTCTTTATGTCCAGTGGCTAATTATTGACTTTTCCACCATGATCTCCCACGCTCCAATAAAACTGAGATATATTAAATATGTAGGATAAACTGGCCAATGAATTACTGTGTTTCCCTGGCTTACTCTAATGGTACTAACATTGGTTATAAGGTTTCTCTCTATCTGTTAAATGCAGATGCATCTATTTAATTAGTCGAGTAATTACTGCTGACATGCATAGCTTTGTTTCCCATGACAGTTCTCATTTGGCATAACGATGGGTAATAAATTAAAATCAATATATAGTGCGTGCGTGTGTGCACGCAGCAACACCGGAATAATAAATATAATTATTGACAAAATAAAAAATAAAAAAGACACCTTTTTTATTATGATGGGTAATAAATACATTTTTTTTCTATCAAATTGGTTGTTTCTCCGTCTCGCGTGTTTGCCAGGAAGGATAAACTTAACTTTAAAGGACAACTGTACTTTTTAATACAATGAAGAATTTATCAAAACTGGTACAGTTGACCATAGTAACGTTCGAAAGCCAGCCTCCCAAGTCACAAGACTGCTTCTTGAAAATATACAGTCCGTTGCCACAAAAGCCACCCCCGTTCTGGCTTTATTCTACATCTGACAAATCTGTTTGTTTTCATGCCAGCTCATGCCATGCCAGCTTCTGCTGTACTTCCAGCCTGCTCGGATGCAAGTGCTGAAAGTCTCAGACCATAGGCCTCCCTCTCCTCCAAGCCATTCACAAAACACACAGCTCCAGGCTTTGGTTTTTGCATGGCCAGAGGGAGGCAGAGACACAACTGTAGTGTGGGGCTCTGAGACCTGCAGCCCATACACCTGAACAGGCCAGGAGTACAGCAGGAGTTATACTAAGCCCAGCATGTACTATAAATAAACAGATTTGCTGGGTGTGAAATAAAGCCAGCATGCTTGAAACGGAATGTACAACTGCTTTAAGTTGGGTATGTTTATTATGCCCGGAGTTGGGCTTTAAGTGTTCCAATGGTAACAGATGTAACTGGAAAGTCTAATTTTGATGCCATATCATCACATTAGACTGCTGCTTTCCAATGCCTGAGGCATATAAATTTGACCTCATAGGACTGAAATGTTCTCTACATGTAGTAAGTACATTCTCTGACCCTTGTTACACATATATACAAGAACTACCTTGTGAGCATACAGGACTATATGTACCCCAAATGATTCTTCACCACCATATTGAAGTACTGTTTTTTATTACCTGACTGCTATTTCAGGATCATGTATTGGATAGCAATTGTATCGCTCATTTTCCTATGAGAACTGTTTTAATTGCTGTCTGTGTCCCCATCGGGGTAGGTCCCCTTCACATTTCCGGAGGCAACCTGGACATGACGATACACAAACTTTGTTTATGTCTTTTTACTTCCACTTTAAGTTATTTGAGTTTATTCATTAAAAAAGGCAGAAGAATCTCCGAAGCTGTAAAAGAAGTTATACTGGGTCTCCACGTTTTTCTATTGGTTGGCAGGTTTTAAAGAGTTTCTACTGTGAATGTATTCTTTAACTATAGTAATTATGTGGTGTTCTGTTATCACAGATATGGTACTGGACAACATGATTGCGTCAGGACAGCTGGATGAATCCATGAGGGAGTATGTCAGAGAAGCTCTCTTAAAGAGACATCACCATCAGAACGAGAAGAAGCTGAGTAACCGTATCCCCCTGGTGCGGTCCTTCGCTGACATAGGCAAGAAACATTCTGATCCTCACTTGCTTGAACGAAACGGTGAGATAAGTTGTCACAAGCAGCTTAATCTAACCTATTTCGCTGAGATCTTCGTTTTGTCTTTAAAGCAGCAGCCCCGCTTTTCTTGATTTTCTAAAATTTGGCTACAAATCATGCTTCATCTATCACTGTCATAAATCACACATCTGTATCTGCTATAATCCTTTCATCTGCTCAGTAATCATCAATTTACTTTTCGCCAGAGTCATTTTATTGCGATTTTTGTGTGTGCCACATAGGATATTGTATATTGATCTCTATAAAACGGCCACAGTTATGGGTGTTGTACACATTTTTTTAATTTTTTTTTTATTTTGCTTTAATTTGGCTGCTGCTTTATCTTTGCTTTTGATTTGCTTGTTTCATGTTGTCTTATGAATTATTCTGAAAATGTATTCCCTGAATGATGTAATTACTTGCATTTAATTAGTGAGGTGTCTGTCAAAGATTGTGTGTCAAGTGCTGTTAAGCAAAATATAGTTTAATTCTTTAGGATAGCTAAAGGACAAATTGAACGTATAAGACTTGATTGAGTCAAAGTGTTGGTAACGTAACATAGCCATGACTGACTCAACATGAAAATTTTATATACTGATATCACCAATGTTTTAACACACTGAAAGATTAAGTGACCTAGAACCTGCTTAAAGCCCATTTGAACCTTCAGTTTAAATCTGATAAATCCATTCCAAGTGCATCAAAACAAAGAGGAAAATTCTTCCCTGAGCTGTGAAGTTGAACCCTTGCTATTTGTAGGGAAGCAGTGGTCTCACTGCAGAGGTCTGCCAGGGGAAGTGTCAGAACTCTGCAGACATATCACTGCTTCCCCACATAGAGCAAGGGTTCCACGCTGCAGCTGCAGGCGGGTGTTAGTCTTTTCTACCTAGGCTGTGGCTGCTTTAGAAAGAAAACAAACTGTAAGACACTGAATACAATTTGTTTTTTGATGTACGTGGAGTATATCTAGCTGACTTTAACCTTAAAGCGACACAAAACTCAGGAGTTAAATCTTAAAAATGCATTCAAGTGCCTTCACTATTAATAAAATTGTACCTTTTATTTGTGTATCACTCAGCAGTAGATCCTCTGAATTGGTGCTGACACTGTCCTTCTTTCCGGAGGGTGGCCACTTTTGTTCCCACTGGTCCCTGTGTGAGTTGTAAAGTAGCCACCGCTCCAAGCTCAATCCCGTGATAGATTACAATGTCCTGTTTAGTTTACTAATTTGTATTGAGATTGTAGTCCATCATGCAAGTGATCTTGGAGCGGTGGCTACTTTACAGCACACAGAGGGACCATGGGGAACAAGAGTAGCCACCCTCCAGAAGAAAGGACAGTGTCGGCATGAATTTACATGATTTGAGCATCTATAGCTGAGTGATACACAAATAAGATGCATGTTAGAGCTGCAGCTAACGATTATTTTCAAAATCGATTAGTTAGCCGATTATTAAGTTCGGTTAATCGGATAAAAAATAAAATAAATTGTAAAAAAAGGCTCCAGTGATGGACTACTAGTTTGTATTGAGAGTGTAGTCCATCACAGGATCAAGCTTGGAGCGGTGGAAGTAAAAAAGAAAACAAAAGTGTGGCGTGCAATATAGTGAATGAAAAGTGTCAAATTATACAGCAATGAATGCAGAATGGCACCGGCTATAGAGGACTACAAAACCCAGCAATAGTACATTATACAGCACAATGCAGAATACCACCAGCTATAGAGGAATACAACAAATCCCAGCAATAGTACATTATAGCTGGTGGTATTCTGCATTGCGCTGTATAATGTATTATTGCTGGGTTTTGTAGTCCTCCTATAGCTAGTGATATTCGGCATTGCACCACTGTATAATGTATTATTCCTGGGATTTGTTGTACTCTTCTATAGCTGGTGGTATTCCGCATTGCGCTGTATAATGCATTATTGCTGGGATTTGTAGTCCTCTATAGCTGATGGTACATTGTTCTGTATATTATACAGAGGAATACAAATCCCAGCAATACATTATAGAGCACCATGTGTGGGAAAGTGCAGGCTTACCTGAGCAGTCTTCCAGCAACTTGCTTCTGAGATCGGGCCTGTCTATCGGCGGCTGTTATCCCCCCACACCTGCTCCTCCTTACTACATCTCCCTGCGTCCCTGTGCCGGTCGGTGAATGTGAGGCAGGGAGGAGATGCGTCGTGTGGAGCGTGGATGCGGGCGTGTCTGGCAGCGGCAAACTTGAGATGGGGAGGAGGTGCGGCACGCAGCGTGTGTGGAGCCATGAACAGGGCCAACCAATCGGAAGCCGATTAATCGATGATTGAAAAAGTTGACAACTTTTTCAATAATCGATTATGTCGATTTAATTGTTGCAGCCCTACTGCATGTTATTAATTGTTAAGGTACTTGAATGCATTTTTTAGATTTAACTGATGAGTTTAGTGCCACTTTAAAGCTCAATTGAACCTTCAGTTTAACAGCAATTAATAATTTTAGACCTTTGTGTAAAAGTTTAAGCAGCTTTTCAGTCTTTGAGAAGATATCCTATTCAGCTTGGCTCCTTTTTCCAGTATCCCAGTTAATAGATATCTAAATACTTCTGAACCTTAACTTTGGCTGAAATTCAGGGCAAGGTGTCCGTGTAAAGACCAAATTACTTGCTGCTTCTGGGCATGTGAGCGCAGGTGACCTCCTCCCATGATGGCGGGCACTATTACATTATGGCGAGGGTGATATTACTGCTCCCTCTTGGCTCCAACACCTGGTATTTCATTGGCGTCTGTGACTGAGAAAGGAGTGGCGAGGGAATGCTGGAGAGGTGAGTATCATTGGATGGGAAGGAGGAAGGGGTCTTTGCACAGACACTGTTACTTCAGGCAAGCCAGTGCTTTTCCCATGTAGGGCAAAACAGGTTTGCTTCAGTGTCCCCTTCCCAGAAGCACATACTCGCCTTATCGGCACTCACCTGCCACCTTGTTCAGCTGTGGGAGTGAGGAAAGCTTTGAGTTGCTCTAATCGGAGCTTACACATGTTTGATTGTCCCCTTCGCATGCCCTTGTAACAGTGCTGATGTTTGGTGAAGGAGTGGATCACACTTTGTTCCATAACCTGAAGTACCAGGTACTTTCTTTGCTTCTGATAGGTGAATCAAGCGAGCAAAGGAAAGGTGTGTATAGAGGCTGCTTGTGAGGTTTGCATTAAATTGAACCTGTTGCCCTGCTTGGGCAAAGCATGGGTTTAATTTAAGAATCTGCCAGGTGACTTCACTCTCTAGTCCTAAAATATCTGTTTTGGGTACACTGGCCCCGTAACATTAGATTGTTCTGACGTACAGCCAGTAATGGCCTGACCTAGGATGCAATGTCAGTACAGTGACTGAACGGAGATGGATTTGGGATAATTGACTATTAGCCTCAAGCATTCATGAGCTTTACACATTCACATTCACTTGATGCTTTTAATTTCTCTCCTATAACATTGCATCAGATCCTTTTGTGAACTGTACACTGAACTTCAATACTAAACATAATGAGAAATGGTGGATTATTTTGCCATTGCAATGTCTATTGACATTTCTCACATGTTGCATAAGCAGTGTAATTATTACCATAACATGTGATTAAGGGGATACAGCATATGCTGGATAGAGAACTGCTGTGAATTGTTGCCCTTTTCTATAATCTGCAAATAGCCACGAGTTTTAAGGTTATTAGGCTTTTTTTTTTTCCTAGGACCTCTCTGATACCTGTAAGTTGTGCAAAACTATTTGTGGACCTCTCTTACTACTTGCATAATAATGTTGTTACATGTATATTCCTGTTTACGTTCATGTATAAATGCACAGTGTTGGTGCCCGATTTCCAGGTTCTTTTCATAATGCATGTATGTTTGTTTGTTTTTTTTCTTGAGCTAAGCATGCCATTGGAGTTTATAATGAAAATTGTGTGGAAATGTGAAACGAGGGCTTTATTTCTGAAAGACCCAGCAAAAACACTTTGTTTTATTTTCTTCTCTTGTTTTACCTCAGGGGAAGGCCTTTCAGCCTCCCGTAATTCATTGCGAGCCGAATCTCGCTTATCGCTTCTCCTCAATTACCTTCTACCTCCCTCGAGAGTTGGAACCCCAGCTGGCTCCCAGCATACGACCCCTGTACCGACCCCCCAAAACACACCGCCCAGCACCCCTAAATTTGATCGGTTGCCGTCTACAAGTTCTCAGCAGAGTGAATGGGTCCCATTGACACTGCAGTGTGCTGGCGATGATATCCCTACTGTAATAATTCACCCACCTGATGAGGAGGATGAAAATGAGGAAGCCTTGGACCCAAAGAAAGAAGATTTTCATGACTTTGATCCAGGCAACTATTATTCCTCTACCTGTGTGGTGCACCTTGCTGAATCACTCACAGTGGAATGTTTCTGAGCACATTGAATGCTTGGCATCCTCTATTGATTACAACTTACAAGGTTGCTTCAATATGCATGCGTTTGTACCATTTGAAGTGCAGTCATTAAGTACCATTCTCCTGGAGCATTTTGTGGCACAGAACCCATTGCTTCATCTATAGTGGATGTATTATCGCTATGCAAGCAGGCTGCTTGTTAGTAAGTTCAACCAAAGCTCAGTCTGCTTTTTTTATTTTATTTGGGATATGAACTTTCTGAAGCCTCAGGCTCTTTTGAATTCATATCATTTTTCCAAATCTCATTCAGTAAGAGTCTTCTGGTCTTTTGGCACGGGCTGCCGATGTACATTCACATTTAATCTGAACATTGAGATCTAGTAAAAGTGAACCATTCTTCTGTTTCCCCTTATCTGCATACATGTAGTTTAGGTGTTCAGGCAGTAAGTAGCTTATAATTCTCCCTAGCGAGGACATAAATGGCAGTTAAAACCTGACAGATGTATTGTATTGTCCCTTCCCTAGCCTGACCAGTATTACAATTGGTTAGGAGAGTTATGAGAAGAGTGAAAATACACTCATCCCCATAATTAGAGTCGAGGTGTGGCAACTGAAGTTGTCGCATGTCGGCTCTATAGATTGAGAACTGAGCAATCCCATACAGCTGATCATTGACTTCCTGATCCTCTCCCTGCAGAGAGCGTTGACTGTTGGTCACTGCTCCCTGCGGGGATTCCCTCCCTCTCCTCTCTATTCCTCCAGTGCTGGCTGGAGGCACAGGGGGGCAACGCAGCTGGCTCTGCTTCTAGAGAGGCAAAGTCAGATGCAAATCATGTGGCGGAGTGGACATAGTAAATGTCCTTCTGTTACCCTAAAGAGAACTATGGCCAAACAAGGTTGGGCCATAGTTCTCTTTTAAGCTGCCACACTGTTGGCGGCTTATTTTAGGACTGTCATTTCCAAAGGTCAGCATTTTAAACCTTAGGTTTCATTAAAATCTAAAGGGGGGCGGGGGTTTATTGGTGATGATGGCTGCACTATATAAGGTTTATAGCAGCAATAATTATTCAGTAATATGCTGTCACTGGCACTGGACCCTGATTGAAGCAGACTGTGCAATCCACAGCAACTTAAGGTTTAGGGTGGGGCTAGAGTATGGGATTTTATTGCTTGCGGGTTCCATTTAGATACGAATTCTAGTGTATTGACTACAAGCAGTGATATCCAGCAGTGAGTTGCAAACTCTCATATTTTTCTTTTGTTCTCTTGCAATAGTTTGCAAAAAAAAGGTTAAACTGGAAAGCATACATTTTTACTTTAAGTGAAAACATGCAATGCACTTTCTGTTTGTTTTTTTAGTATCTAGCTTTTCAACTGATATGCAATATATATAGTAGCTTGGGTGCATGGTGCTAGCTCCAAGAGTATAATCAGTACTTGTTGTTTTTATTTATCTATAGCAAACAATTTTAGTCTTTATTCAGATTGCAGTGTATCTTGGAATGCGTGTGGTGCTTTGCTTACTGTACTAACCACATTACATTTGTGTGATTTCACTGGGCTGTCATCAGTCATGAAGTGTTCATGATGTGTTCCTCTCAGGTAATAGTAAAGCATATGCACATTCTAGGAATTCTGAATTACTTTCTATTGTTACTGAAGTACTGTATGTGATTCATGTACCCTATGTGTCTGATCTTTTTATATCCTGATATGCGTGTCTCATTATTCTCAGAAGCAATAGCTGCATTACATGCATATCTATTTCTAGTCAATATAATGAGAAACATGTACTGGTTTACAATCCAAACAGTGCACTTATTACCTGAAAGGACCACTGGACATTATTGCAAATGCCACTCTTGGTTGTAAGTGTCACTGGTTGAAATGCATGTCTTGAGTGTGTTAAGTTTTTTTTGTCTTTTTATAAATGTGTTGCTCTTCCCGGGTACAGCAATTGTTTGTTCAGCCTCTTCAGTTCATTGTAAGAGTATGGTGGCATTGTTTGGCTTGCTGGTAGGTGCTAGTTATTTTGTTGGATGTTTCTCCCCACAGGAGCACTTGAAGGATATTTGAAGCCAGCATTTGATTTGACTTACCAGCAACTACCTAAAAATTAAACATGAGCTTCTCTCTGATGGACACCATGAGCCTTTGGTGGAGCACGAGGAACAGTTGGAAAACACTGCAAAAAAATGATTGTCAAACTCTTTTTTTTTTTTTTCCATCAAGTAATTTGGCATTTGTTCCATATTACTTGAATTTCCTCTCCTTGTGACATATTCTGGTTGGATTTATTTAGAAAATCAGGTAAAACGAGGGGAACAAAAGTCTAATAAAACGGGTTGAATGGATATCGGTGGACCAAGCAACGGAGACCTTTCCAACGGAATTGTCCTCCAATGTCCACCCTTTCTGCTGTCTTGTCATGGAAAGCATTCTCAAGGGAGACAATATTGTCCATTGCAGAATTGGAGAGTAGGAATCAGATCACCAGACTTCTTGAGAAATGAAAATAGCAGGTGTATAATTAAAACCACCAACGTCTACTGAGAAGTCTCAATTGTCTAGTTCCAGCTGCTATATCTATAGATTGGAAAAAGAGTAGAAAGCAAATGGAAGTATTTCTCTCAATGTACATCCACTTCATAGGTAAGCACCTAAAAATCATAATTTTTGAGATATACATAAAAAAGATTCTGTCACCAACTTTGCAGGTAAAAACACAGAAAAATTTATGTTTTTCAAATATTTACTTGCAGTAATTCTCCTTTTCATAAATTATATTTCATTCATTTGCAATGTGTCTTTGAACTTGCTAATTTGACACTCCAGGAGAGTTATTTCCTTAGCAATGCCTCCTTCTTCCTTGCACATCATAGTCTTCTCTTCTGGGAGTCTCGTATTACTCTCTGTGCTGGCCCAGCTTCTCTGCCCCTCTCCTTCTCCCTACGTAACCTTTTATGTGCCTGCTAGAGAGGGGAGTCAGGGGAAATACTATAGTTTTACTTAAGTGACAGCTGAGTCTGCTGGAGCTGCTGACATCACATCCAAGATGGCAGTGCCCTGCGGCAGTCTCAGGACTTTTGGATGGCTGCACAAGGGAGGCTTTTACAGGTAAATAATCTGCATAAAATACATTGAATGCAGATATAATCTAATGGGAAGATTTTTTTTTTATAACTAGTCTTAAACTCTCTTGTGTTTTTATTTTTTTTCTTTTCTTGCATATATCTACTGCTAGCAAGCAATAGATATATGCAAAAAAAAAAGATAAAAAGTTACCAAATAGGTAATTACTTACCTGTGTCTCTGCCACTCGCTCCCGTCTGAAGATTCTCGAGCGGCCGTGAAGATCATGGGGCGGGCACATGCGCAGTAAAAATCTTTGGCCGGCAGAAGAGGAGAGACACATTGTAAGTCAGTAATGCACGCAGCATGCACCCAGACAGACACTGTGGGACACAGAAGACACAGCAGTCGGCGCTGGATCAGAGACCGGCAACAGCGCTGGAGGGATAAATAGTTTGTCACATAGCTGTTTTATATAGCCATCATGCCTGCTCTGTTTACTCTCACTAAACAGAATGGCTGTGCTGGATGTTCATATATCTCCCTGCATAACAGAAAAAGAAATCACATCACAGAACAACTTTTATAATTGGCTACTGGAATCTGCAACATGAAACTCTTGTCTGAATTACAGTTTTTGCTGAAACAGACTTTATTGTGGTCCCAGCTCCTGCATTCTCGTAACTACCTATTAATATATGTCAGCTATTGGAAATAGAATTTCATGTGCGATTGTTCTCTTGACTGCTATAATTGCTTGATACGTAATTTGCATTTGTGGAGCGGCCAAACTAACCACTCACAATAATGTCTCAATGTCCGCCAGAGCGTTGCAAAATATATGCACTTGCCACAAAAGACTGTAAATATATTAATCATTCTGCATCTAGGACCTGAAACTTTGACTCGATGTAATGTCTCTGACGGAACACATTTCTGACTATATGTACTTGTTTGTAGGGCTGCTATCTTCTCCACAGTCAACACCAGCAAACCTGGACACTGGTAGATTATCGGAGCTCAAGCGGAACGGAACTGGAGGAGGTAGCCAGGAGAATAGCACAGTTGACTTTAGCAAGGTACTGAAAGATTTGTCAAAAATAGAATAACGCTAAACCGTCTGATCTGTCCAATGTAGCCATTAAGTACTGTGTAGAAAAGGCCAGACCTGCTTTGGTTTTTATTTTCAAGCTCTAATTTGTAGAATAGTTTTTTATTTCGTTTCATAGTGCAAGCAATGTGTAGCGCACTCTACCACTGGTTTTTGGTAACATCAGAAAGTAATCAATTGGTTTCCATTTCAAAAAAATTCAGACCCTACTGTGTCCAGCCTCCTATAATCACTCCGGTAACAGAGAAATCATACAGCATTTGTGTACATTTGTCTTGGAGTTCTACAACTGTTCAAAGATGTCATAGCTCCCCCCTTTTTTTTTTTTTTTTTTACCATTAGACTAGCTTTATTATATTGCCAAAATATATACGTGTTTATGCAGTGAACAGACAATCTAGTTCACCTCGCCAATCTACTTGTCCCTCCAGAATTTGCCTGCTAAGTTACAAGATACTTATAAATATCTGACCATCTAATTAATATGTCTATTAATAAACCATTAATTGCTCTGCAGTCAATATACTGTTTCTGTGATCTAGGTAGTTTTAACTGATTATGCATTTTTGTTATTTATTTTAAAATATTTTCTTTTACAAATGAACATTTTTTATTATAGGGTACACCCATGACACTGGTTTTACAGAGCCTTCTATGGTTTCTAAAGGGGAAGCACAGCAGTAGTTTCTCACTTTGTGGCTATTTCTAATTGAAACAATCTGATGCATTAATGTTTGTGTGTGTAATTGAGCTACCCCCTGTAAGTAGGCATTTTTTCATCAAAGCAGCTAGGGTTAGCCTGATAATTTTCTATAAAAGGCCGTAGAGCTCCAACTGCTTCCTGGAAATTGTACATATGAAAAAATGGTGAACATTATAAAGAGGAAAAAAAAAATCTATCTATCACTATATATTCCTTTAAAAAGTAAATCTACCCAAGGCTGTTTAAAAGTCTCCCAACCAGGGGGCTGCTTATTCTGCACATACAGAATTCCGCTTAATCGGCTTTTATTTCTATGGCGAAACCGTCCACCATTGGGGTGTACAACCTCTCCATAGGAAGAATAGAGATTTTCCATGTGTGTAAAGCAGTAGTACAGTTATACTTTTAAAAGCGAAATATGGCCCAACCTTTTTTGGCCATAGTTAATTTAGGATCACAGAAGACCATATACTAATGTCTTCCTGTGACCAAAAACTCAGCATATAGCGAGCTATTGCCCGCTATATGCTGACAGCACAGAGCCATGCTGCAACCAGGATCCACCCCGCTGCCTGATTGACAGCTGGCTCTGCTTTCCTAGAAGCTGTGCCCACCCCTTCCCCTGCCCATTCCTCCAGTCAGTGCTGCAGGAAAAGAGAGGGAAGGGGGGGAATCCTTGTAGGGAGCGGTGACTGACAGTCATTGCTCTCTGCTGGGAGATGATCGGGAATTGAACTATCAGCGTTACGTGATCACTCAGTTCTCGATTTATAAAGCCGACGTGTGACAGCTGCATTGTCACATGTCTGCTCTAATTATGGGGATGAGTGTAATTCGCTCTCCCCATAATTCTCTTTTTTAAGCAGCAATTTTTTTTTCTTTAAGTCTCCAAGAAATCTAGAATTCCCACCAGTGAAATATCAGACATGGGTGGTTATAGCCTATACACTGGAAAGCTTCTTTAATGTTATATACTTGTTGCACCTCCTATTATTATTGTGTACTAAATTTGGACCATGTCCTTGAAATCTGGCACAACATTTATGACAGCGTGTATCATTGTTTTTGCTTGGCCCCCCCCCCCCTGTTTTCCCTCGACGAGCAGGATTATGACTCCTGGCACTGTAATTGTGGCACGTTTGTAATGGGACGCAAGAGGTCTGCTGTAAGTTCCTGCAGATAGCCATGTCAATGGTTCTCTACAGTACAAATCATGACACATCGTCTACCGGACTCATTTGTGCTGTAGCCCCCTGTTATTATACACAAATGGCCAAACTATTCACTGGGTCCATATTGGCTTCAACAAACTTTATATCTAAGATGTGCTTTTTATACAATATTTATTGGCTAAAACTTTAAAAGGACCCTACATATTGTGTATAATATCAATTTTGTGTTTTATCCCTTTAATTTTGAAATCTTGTAATTTATTTAGTTATTCTATAGTTAATGTATTATTTTCCATATGTATAAGGATGTCTGTCGGTGTAAGGCGTTTTTAAAAAAAAATCTTGTTTTTTCTTTAAGCAATGTATCAATACATGTGTTATTTTCATTTTTTAAAAAAGGTACTTTTACAGGAAAAATCACTTTTCTAGAAATTTAGATAATTTGATTAACATTAGCAAGTATCTAAAATAAAATAAAAAGTTTTACATCTGACAGACTTCTTGGTGAAAACAATTCTCCACCACAAATTCATGTTTTCGTGTGCTGTTCTGGAGTCATCCAGTTGGCCTCTACCGGTAATTAACATATATGTATGGAGATTTAATGACTATTTTTTGCCCTAGGTTGACATGAACTTTATGAGGAAGATCCCCCCAGGAGCTGAGGCATCAAATGTTTTAGTGGGAGAAGTAGATAATTTGGATCGACCGATTATAGCCTTTGTGAGGTTGAGTCCGGCTGTCCTTCTATCTGGACTTACAGAAGTACCAGTCCCAACTAGGTGAACAAAGTCTGGTATCTTTTTTTTAAAGTTGTTGTAGTTAATGTTACAGCCAAGACCAAATTTGTTTTGCACAATGTGAGAAAGGGTTAGAAACACTGCTAGATTTGTATTGGTATCCTCGTCTCCATCTCAGGGTTTCTACTGGCTTTCTGCATATCAAAATGTAAATGGTAGAAAGTCACTTGCATTCCAAAAACTGTTGCAGTCAATCTTCTTCTTTATTGACCATCAAAGTGACGCATTGCTTAGCGACGTTTCGAGACCGTATGGTTTTGTTTGCCTGAAAAAGGGACCATATGGTCTCGAAACGCGACTAAGTAATGTGATACTTTGATGGTCAATAAAGAAGATTGACTGCAAAAGTTTTTGGAGTGCAAGTGGCTTTCTACCATTTACACTTTGATATGCAGAGGCATCTGGGGTTAACTAAACAATAATTGCACTGTGTCGTATAAATACAATGTTGGAGTTTCAATTACTATGGAACTATGGGAAAAATAGGAAATGACATGATTTATTGTTTTCTAACATTACTACTACAGATTTTGTAATCTGTAGTATTAATCTGAAATGGACTCCAGCAAAGCTATTTGAAGAAGTTACAGCAACAGATTTGGGGAAACAAGGTTTAAAGGAGAACTATGGGGTCAGTGCTTTCCCCATAGTTCTCCTAAGGGTAACGAGAGGACACAAACCAGCGTCCTCCTGTCCCCCAAAGCTCAGTATACCGCGAGCTACTGAGACGCCGCAGCTGGAACCGATCCCGACAATGCTGTCTGGATCCACCCAGCTGCAGGATTGACATCTGGCTCTGCCTATCCAGAGGCAGAGCCAGCTGTATCCTCCCCCGTCCGTTCCGCCAGTCAGCGCTGGAGGATCGGACAGGGGAGGGGGGAATCCCTGCAGGGAGCCGTGAGTGACATTCACGGCTCTCTGCACGGATAGATCGAGAAGTGAGCGAGCGACGGTATGTGTTCGCTCACTTCACGATCTACTGAGCCGACCTGTGACGGTTTCATTGTCACAGGTCGGCTCAGATTATGAGGCTGAGTGAAAATCACTTGCCTCATAGTTCTCCTTTTTTAAACCATATAAATAAAAGCTGATCCTCGTAACCACCTTTCTTAGTGTTATATGATTTATCACAAATCCTGTAATTGTTACTTGTAATGGACAGCTTGGTCTGCATGTAAAGTTGGAGAAAAATATGAATTAAGGTATGTGGGGAGACATGGAATTCATATACTGAATGACGAAAAAGAAAACTGTGAAGAGCACTAAGAATCCCACTCACATGCAGTGTGTAGTCAAATAGCAGAAGTTGTCATCACCTGCTGCATAATCCTAGGCAGTCAAGACTCCTTTATTTGCCAGCTCAAGTATTACTAACATACAGTTACCAGAATACAGTGTGGAGAATTTATCAAAACTGTTGCAGACAAAATCTGGAGCAGTTTCTCAACCAATCAGCTTCTCTCTTCAGTTTGTTCAGTTAAGGTGTGAAAATGAAAAAAGAGAAGCTGATTGGTTGCCATGCCCAACTGCTCCAGTTTTTGTCTGCTCCAGTCGTAATAAATCCCCTCCAGTGTCTGTCATTGTGGAAGTCTTATGATTTATGTTGTACTTCACTTTTGACTAGCATCCTATATGTGTCTGCCCTGGTCTCGCAGTAGACAGACATACCAGAACAATAGAGTTGCAACCCTTATTTACATAGATGCATGCGTAGTTACATAATCGGATTGAAAAAAAGACCCAAGTTCAACCAACAGAAAAATAAATAAATGAATACATCGAAAACTTCTTGTATACAGAACTCAAAAGTGTCTGATTTGCTCCAATGGGAATCCAATTCTTCTTGATCCTCTCAGATATTTGGATATTACCTGGATCTACAATCTGCTTTGTTATTTCTTACAAGTATTAATAGCCGGTTGATGACCGCGAAGTTTAGCAAGTTGCATCAGTTTTATTGTAATCATAAAGAACATTCTAGCTTTTAGTGTGGGAAAGGTGTGAGACTCTTCCGCTCCAGTGCAGGAGGAATCTATGTGATCTAAAATCAATGGAGCATTTCACATTTCTATTATATGCCTCCCCAGTCAAGTGGACTTTTATCAGCAGCTGTAATCAATACATCAATATTTCACAGCCTTTTCTCTATCCAAAGTGTCAAAGTAATGAACTAATTAAATGACATCCAACTATATTGTACTGTCATTCTTATTGTACTGTCCTTCCCCCCCCCCCCCCTGTAGGGTACATTGTCCACTGATAGATTTATGCAGTGTGAGTCTGCAATAACACTGCCATCCACACTGTTAGCTTCGCAAAGAAAGGTCTTTGAAGTCAAAGCACATTTTAGAGTTTTTTTTCTTTGCTGACCATACATTACATAAGCCGTTGCCATTATGTCCAAATTACCGTCTTTCTCTTCGTGTAATCTTTCGGGGCCAATTTTACTCCTAAATGTTCTGTTGCTGTACTTAATTCACATGCTTCATTATGAATGGCCTGCCAACACATCACAAAAGGTAGAAAAAAAACAAAACATGCTTGACCGGTTTTTAACAGAGCAGCACATCATAACACATTGTATATGTGTTGTGGTGCATTGGGCTCTACTGTACAGTGTGTTGGTGTGGTATTCACAATCGGTAGCACTGCACAAAAAGCAGGTGCTGTGCTATGCATTGTGGTAACGTGTTAACGTGCTTTGCCCCAACGCAATAGTGTGAATGGACCCGTAACCTTGTGATGCTGATGGCCATGCATTGAAGCATATCCTCTATTTGTGGATGGTGATCCATTTTGAGATTTCATACACATGAGATTTGCTTATTTTGGACAGAATATGCAAAGTATATTTGCTTAGGTATCAACTGGCAAAATGGTATACACAGTAATGCATTTGCCTTTATTTGGGTATTGTGCATCTAATTCTGTTTTCTTATACCTACGTAGTTGGTCAGGTTGAAAAAAAGACACAATTCCATTGAGTTCAACCTATAGACCCACCGAGTGATTTGGCTTAGACAGACTAAATGTGGCCTTTGCGAAGTATGGTTATGATACACAGGAGGTTGGAATAGCCCAACATACAGTATATGGGTTCCCTTACATAAAACTGACCTATACTGGGGAAATATGGGGGCTCCCATTACAAACCTCTCCCTGTGAAAATGCTAATTATTTTGATTTTCTACTGATCTAGTATCTTCATTCATTTTTTGGTCACTAACACATAACAAGTGGTGGACTTCTTTCTGGCCTTGCCTGCTTGTTCCAGGTCAGTGACTTAAAGTATTGGCTATAGACAGGCAAATAGCAGTTTCAAAATCAGTTCAGCAATGGAAGCTCTTGTATTTCATTTAGTACAGGTTTCCTTTAAATATGAATGGCAGTCTATACCCCTTTATAACCTTCCTATGGTTTCTAATTGAAGAGCTGCTAAGGTCTCTAAATAGAACCTGTTAACAGTTTGTCTCAGTTTTCAAAGCTAGAAGGGCTGCCAGTAAATTATCTGGTCTCCTAAAACAGACACCCAAAATAATTTTGTTTAGGACTGTTCTGCTTTGGGATCACAGGGAGTCAGTGGGATGTGTGCCCTATGTAGAAACAAACACTACTGACATCTAGAACATGGTGAGGAGCAAGAGTGGACAAGGATCCAGCATTGAGGACATCTGGTTGCATATGGAAGAAAGATTTTACCGTCCGTTTAGAAAGAGCTTCTTTAACTCTCTACAGTAAAAGTGGTTAAACTTTTCTCCAGGCAGAAAAAAAAATTGAAGCAAGTGCCTCAAATTATTGTTTAAGCAGCCATCACTCCTTTCACTATTAATCTGTCAGGAATTACTACCTGCTAACTGTTGCATTGGCAACGCATCCTGTTGTGTAGAAAAGTCACCCCAGCTAGCTAGCTATGTGCTGGGTGACCGGTCACCTCAATGTCCCCCTCCCATAGCTCTGCAGCACTAATCTATGGGATGTAGCTCTGCAAAATTAGCCTCCTTGCAGTGCTGAAGGAAGAGACCCTGAAAGTCAGGTGAATATATTGTCCAGATGTCAAACAAGCAAGACTTTCTTCGATAGGGGCAAGCTATGTAAAAAAACAAACTGCATGAGGTAGTTTGTACTCTGAGTCTACTTACCTGATACTGGAAAGCGCTTGCCCGGCGCCACCTGCTGATGACCCGTACGTCCGCTGTCTATGGAAATGTCTCTGACCTGTGTACTATACAAAATTGACAACAACACAAACATGCGGACCTGAGATATGCCATGGTCCGGGTGGACGGTACGCCAATAAGGGGGCAAAAACAACCATTTAGAATTGAATTGCTTTTATTCGTATCTACATTTATACAGCCAAACAAGAAAATGCTTTTGCCATCTCTACTTGAGGGTTCGGAACATATCTGATGAAGCATGCCGATTTCCACCTGCCTAACTGCTTGATGACGTGGGCAGGAACCCCATGTCGGGAGGCGGCTGAGGCTGCCCCTATGCGGAAGGAGTGCCCTGAATATCATTTGGGATTCTCCCCTAGCTGCCCGAGGAGTACCCTGACGTGTGTGACGAACTGCTGCGAGGAGAGAGGGGCGACTGGGAAAGGCAGCAACGGGCCGTGCGGAGCTGTCGGTGATGACAGTCCAACACCGAGACGGGGCACCATGCGTTGCCTGACGGAAATAACTCGATCCGTGTGGGTGCGCCTACCTGATTTTTTACACCGCTCGGGGCTCAACGTATAGTGGTCCGGGTAACGGCATAAGTTCCTCTTACATACTGTAGCGGCTATGGGACTGGAGGACGTAAACTCACCCGGTCTCAGGAAACCATAATAAGCCAAGTAGATGGCAGCTTTTAGAACTAAGCTCTGGGTAACACAGAACGGGGATCCGTCCAGCATAGCGGACATGCCCCTGAACAAGTGCCCAGAGATGGGCAACCTGGCGCCCCCGGATTGTGCCCCTGCTTTCTGGATGCCCTATAGGATAGCCTTAACGGGGTGAGCTGTAAATAAAGACTGCCTGTCTGGGTGAGTCAGGGACAGGAAATGTTGAACCCCCGCCAGATATAGCCGCATCGTGCTGTGCGCCAGTTTGAGGTCTGAGTGACAGTAGGCGATAAAGGCTAGTATATAAGATACGCTGCTGGGCTCGTGAGTGGCGTATTTGCCTTGGAATGTATTGAAGGCTTTCCACGCCACCTCGTACGCTTTGCGGGTATTGTGGCAAGGGAGTTGTTGATCAACCTGGCGGCATCGGACCGGTGTTTGTCTAATGCAGTACCAGATGCTGGAATATAGGAACTGGCGTGGCAACCGTGTCCGCGTCCGTGTGCTGTTGGAAGAAAGTGTTGTATTTAAACCTGGACAAGGCATCAGCCGCTACATTGCAAACACCTGGGATGTAGTGACAGATGACATTAAACTCGTGTTGGAGGGACAGCCATGTCAGCCTACATAGAAAGGACATGATCTTTAGGGAATTGGATCTACCTTTGTTGATTATGTCGGCTGTGGCTTGGTTGTCCGTGTGGAAAACAACTGTATGGCCTGACCATTATGGGCCCCATGTTTTGGCTGCCGCTACTATAGGGTATATCTCGAGTAATGATGATGTTCGAGAAAATTCCCCTATACTCTCCACTTCGACCGGCCAAGGGCTAGCGAACCAGTGGGTGCCAAAAAAAAGGCAGCAAAACCCGTGGCCACCTGCGGGGACGAACGGGTGGCATGCGGGATGAACAACGAGATGCCGTTCCAGTCCCGCAGGAACCGGTCCCACATGAGCAGATCTGCACATCCGGCAGCGTCCACGCGTACGACCGAATCCTGTTCCGGGGCCGCAGGCAACAGAGCCAGCAACCTGGAGATAAATGCCCGACCCTGGGGTATGATCCGCATCGCAAAGTCGAGCATGCCCAATAAGGACTGCATCGACCTCCTGGTGCATACTGGGGACACCACCAGGGTGTGCAGGACGTCCCTGATCCGGGCCAACTTGTCCGGCGGCAATCTGGACCGCATGGGAGCCGTGTCCAGAATGACCCCCAGGAAAGGCAAAGCTCTGAGGGGGCCTTCGACCTTGCGTGCTGTGACGGGAACCCCGAGCGACCCGAAGGTGTCCAGCAGTATGCCGAGGCCCCGCGGCACCCTGTCGGGGGATTCGATGAGCAGATAGTCATCGAGGTAGTGCAACACCTTCTGACAACGAGCGTGCTCCCCCAGAATCCAGTGCAGGGCCTGGGCGAACCTATCAAAGAGCCAAGGGCTGCTCTTGGACCCGAAAGTCAACCTGGTGGCGAAGTAATACTGCTCCCTCCACGTGAGCCCGTGCCACTGCCACAACAACTGTGGGATAGGCAACAACTTGAAGGCGTCTGAGATGTCCGCCTTGGACAGCCACGAATTCCTGCCAGATCGCACTATATACTGTATGGCCTAGTCCACCGAGGAGTACCTGAGGCCAAATTCCTCCGAGGGTATCAGAGCATTCAAGCTATGAATGTGTGTGGAATGAGGGGCGGACAAGTCGTAAACTAAACAATATTTATTTGAAAACATCCCGCACACCAACCCGATGGGGCTGACCCTCCACATGGCAAAGGGGGTTCTGAAAAAGGCCCAATCATGAAACCCTTATCCAATTCCACCCGAAGCAATGCGTCCACTGTGAGAGGGTCTGCCAGAGCCGACCCCAAGTTACCGCACTCGTGGGTCGTCCGTGGCAGCGTGACGAAGCCAGTGTGGAAACCGGTGGAAAAACCGTCACCCAGAAATTCCGCCAACGATGGATCCGGATGCAAGGACAAAACAGACACCAAAGCATCCACATCCACCCGGCTTAGTCACGGAGTCTGCATGTTCCCGACCGAGCATGCGGTCCTCGGATGGGCCCTGAAACAGGTGGAGCAGATATGCAGCAACCGACACTGTGGATAGTTACACGACTTGAAGTTGTTATTATTGCCTCTCTGGGCCCTGCCCAAGCAGCGTATGGGCCTGCCCAACTTGTCGACCTGAGCAGACGCTGGGCCGGGAGGGCTGGGCAGGAACCCAGGGGTCGGGTCGGCACGGCCGTCTCCGCAGGCGCGGTCGTGGGGCAGCAATGGGCAGTGTGTGCTGAGGACTGACACGTGGTGCAGACGGGCGAAGTGAGCACTGCGAACTGCCTGCAGAACAACTCCGTGTCAATCCTACCCCAGTTGGCCGTAAACTGAAATTGCGCCAACCCAGCCGCTGCCTAGGTCGAAAACGCCCGGTGATAGTCGTAAAAAGATGGCAGACACCTCCCCGCAAGCATACGCCCTGTTATCCCAGACGTCGTGCGCTGCAATGAGCAGCGAAGCCAAATTTACGTCCTTCCACTCCAAAATGTCTTTACGTAAATTAACGGGGACGAAGTGTGCCGGCGTAATGTTGGGAGGGCCGGCAGCCCTACCTGGGATAGGGGGCACCGGGGCGCTAGACTCTGGGGCACCCGAGGGGGTGCTAGAAACATCCAGTACCGCGGGAACAACCGTGGCCTGCCACTCCAGAGTCTCGGTCCGGTGCTGGAGATTGTGCAACGAGGTGGTAATAACGTTCAAAGAGGCGTGAATCTGCGTCAAGGAAGCGACAACAGTCTGCATGGGCATCTGCTGGGAGCTGCCACTAGCAGCAGCGGAGGGAAACAGCAGGCGGAACAGCTCCACCCTCCTCGCCGTGGCCAGAAAGGGGATGCCCTCCTTTTGAAGCTCCAGAGCGAGCTTGGGGATCGTCCAAGCCCTGATGGAAGGTGATCTCCCACGATCAGAAGCCCTGGTAGGGGTAGCCAGTAGCGAAGCCAGGTCCACACCCTCCGAAACATGCGACATCTCGGTCGGTCCTCACTGCAAAAAATGAGAAAAGGCATGACCCCCCTCCTGAATGACCTATCGTGTGACCTACAGTGAAAATGAGTGACGTGTGCACGTGCGGGGCCCTAAGCTGGGCTCCGCCAGGACAACGCGGGGAGCCACTGACTGCGCCTGCTCGCTCACGGTCCGTGGAGTTAGTTCCCCCTTTGTGCGAGCCACTCGAGCGGAGGGAACACCCAGCATGTGCTGCCACCGTAGCACGTGCCTGCGTCCGACGACGCAGGTCTGGCGAACACAGGAAGGGAATGCATACCACACCATGTACATGTAATAGGCACCCATCGCAGGGCAGCGGCAAACGACATTCAGTGTGCCACACATGCTGGATAGTAGAGGAAGAAAGGGACAGAGACAGAAAAGGAGGGGGCTATGCAGGGGAGAGGAGACAGGAGGATGTCTGCCCCGAACGGAGCCCACACACCACCCACACAATACAGCTGCCAGTGGGAAGGCAGGGGCAAAGCAGGCAGATCAGCTGAGGCAGCGAGGGCCACGGCAGAAGGCCAGGGGTCGGCAATGACGGAGGGGCACAACGGACCCCTTGCTGAACACAACGCTGCTCCCCTGCTGCTCCTGACCCCACTTCCATACGAGCAAAACATGGCACAGTGCCGCTCCCGGATGCCCGCGGGCAAGGGGCCGACCGCCACCGCAGCCCACTGCCTTCAGACACATGCCCCCAATGCAAGGCAGTCTCACCTGGTGTCCTGGTGGGTGGTAGCCTGGGCGAAATCCGCGCCGGGGACCGCGACAGTGCCGCTCGAGCGAGGCGGCCAAGAAACCCTGACACGCCGATGGGTCGCGCTGCTGGTGACGTCACTGGGAGGCGCCGTCGGATCCCTTCGTTCCCCGGAAGCCTGAAACGAGCGGCTTAAGAGGACCGACGGGCCGGTGACTCCTCCCACAAATCAGGCTAACAGGTTAGCCTCCCACTTATAGAAAAACATCCACATATATAATTATTTTTAAATAACAATTTTTATGTTTTTGTATTTTTGATGGAAATAATTTTCCCCCCCAACCTTATTAACTATATATTGTTGACTTCTTCAGCATGTGTATAACTGTTGGACACATGGGGGTTCCACAACGGATAGCTTTTTTTAGACAACAGAGATGTTGATTTTTCTGAAATTACATTTGGGTTATGCTACAGTTTTGTTGTGAACGGTGTATAGTATAATTCTTCTGTAAGATATTTATCTTTTAAATACCTGATCCCTCAATGTGTTCAGTTGATTATATTCTAAAGGTTGTGGTTGTATAGAACAGTCCTCACTTAAGTAGCTCTGTTTGTATTGAAATATACATTAAATGCATTTTCTTCTCTTATTTAATTCAACAGGTTTTTGTTTGTATTATTGGGTCCAACTGGAAAAGCTGCTCAGTATCATGAGATTGGAAGATCAATAGCTACTCTAATGACTGATGAGGCAAGTCTTCTTTTTAACATTGTGCATGTTTTTGACCATACAGTAATTATTGAGTAATGCTTGATCTTCTCTTGTTGGATGTCATCATGAAATTAAGTAGTTATTTAATGTCTAGTAAGCGTCTTTACCTCAATACAACCCAGTAAATAATTTAGGGGCTTTTACCCAACAGTCTCCTCCATATATGGGAAGTAAATCCTTCTCTATTGCTAAATCTTATGGAGTGATTCGTACTTCCAGTTGTCTGTTTAAATTTTGTGGTACACATTTGCTTCTGTTTCTCACATTGACCCACACACATTTACTGTAGGCACACACAATTTGACTATTTAATTGCACAGTCAATCGCTAACATTGTTTTAGCATTGATCTTTAATGATGTGTGTGTTTTTTATGTTGACATATGATACCACTGCAGTCTACATTACAAAGGGTTTGTTTTTGTGTGCAGGCAATGGTTTTTTTGTTTTTGGATATAGAGTAAGAAAGGTTTAAAATCGGTGTCCTGTTGGGGAGAGTTCCTTTACTTCCTTTTACATTTCTGGGATAGGAAGAAGGAGCAATTCTTTATAAAGTGGCAGTTGTCACAGGAACAAGTGTTCCCACTGGAAGATTTCTATCTGGGGACAGCTGTAAAATGTTAGCTCTTCCATCACCTCCTGTCTTGGTGACAACAGTCACTAGGACAATTAGAGAAGGTGAATCTTCCTAGTGTGGACACAACCAGCACTAAAATCTTCACAGGAGTTTTAATCCATCCATATTCTATCCACGACTAAAACTGTTTTGGATATAAATACACTTCAGAGAAATCCTGTACTCCATTTTAGATGTTTAAAAGTAAATGTTATTCCCAAGAAGAGTTTCCCTTGGTGGCTAAGCTCCAAAAACTGCCAGACTACTGGCTAATTAGAGTGCCCTAACTGTACTCTAAAGCTGTGTTATTGGCTGCTTGCAGGACTAAACTAAGTCAGGGAACGTTAGACTCTGTAGCATCGTAAAACACAGCGGGGCACAGAAAAGGCAAACTAAAATGAATGATTTTCTTGACCCCCTATGTGGAAGGCATTGGTGGTAATCTTTGAAAGAATTGGGAAGGATGTAACTTTGTTACCGTTTCCTTCACAGATATTCCATGATGTTGCCTACAAGGCAAAAGACAGAAATGATCTGCTAGCAGGAATAGATGAGTTCTTAGACCAAGTAACGGTCCTACCTCCTGGGGAGTGGGATCCATCTATACGCATTGAGCCACCAAAAAGTGTTCCTTCTCAGGTGAGTGTTGTACATTGTTGGTGTTGTTCTAACCTGGGTTGCTCAATGCAGGTGAAATGTAATCACCTGGATTTTTTTTTTCTCGTGTACTTCCTTTTCCTTGATATATTTTTATTGTGCATTATTTATATATTACAAACAACATATAGTCTCACAATTTGTCAAAAATGAACTACATGTTGTAGTAGTTATGTGCTGTATTGTTAATTTGTCCAGGTTGTGCTCAGTCTTCAATGTGTATGTATAAATATCCCCAAGGGTATTTTTTTTCCATCACAGCTATTTATTTTAGGATGTTTCAAGGAAACATTAGGTGCAGTATATCTCTGCATATGCATTAAACAGTCAGTGGCAAATGTGCATTTTAAAGCAGAAATCAATACAATGGAGACCTCGTTCTTTAGAGAATTCTCTAATACTAAATGTGGAATATAACATGGGTGCAAAAATGGAAAAAAGGGCCTCAGTCATGAAGGGGTTAAAGACCTTCACTTAAAAATGATATTGGGAATAAGGTCACATAATCTGGTAGTCCTTTCGAGTTTAAAAGATACAGACTAAGAGGAGGGACTTGGTATAGAAAATTATTCTCCAAAATACTTAATAGGCATGAGAAGATACTATGCCATCTGTCAGCCTCTAGGGGCAGCTAAAGAAGTGTTGATGTCATTGGAGAGGTCACTGACATGTTATGGAGCCATTACTACAGACTATTATAGGAACTGTTTGCTAGCTTGGAAGTGAGATTTGGTGACTGATCTACCAAGAATATTGATGTCAGAACAATAATGTACAAAGTAAAGTATACAGATTAGTTGTGAGGGAATACTCCAGTTGAGAAATTGACTTCCATTTTAATGTTGCCCAATCAGTGAGATCACACAATTCAGTATTTACAATTGTTTACATATACACATATGACTAAATTTGAAAGTTCTAGGTGGTCCTGTTCAGATCACATGAAGTATAGAAGGTCCTACAACTGTGACTTTGATGCATTCATTATTATACCACTGCCTTTGCCACCTAAGCAAAAATGTTGGCACCGGTAGGACCTAATAGGGTCTTTAAATTTACTGTTCTTACCCATTACATTGGTCTGCACATCTGAATCCGCCAATATGTTTTAATGGTGGGTGTCGAGTTTACTCATGTCATTGTGTTCATAAACTTGAATATCTGACCTGAGTGACTGCTTAACTCTTTCTCACATGTACAGGAAAAGCGTAAAATCCCAACCATCCCAAATGGTTCAACGCCAACAGGTGAGACGTTCAAAGAGGAACAACACCATGCTGGCCCAGAGCTCCAGAGAACTGGATGGTGTGTATTGCTCTATTAATTTTTTTATATTCGCAAAATATGAAATATTATTTGATTAGTTCTAGAAACTGTCTCCTGGTAGATTTCTCTATGTGGCACAGACACTCATGTGCATGGTCTTAAGCCTTTAAAATTTGTGTTATGGCCTTACTAGAGAAAAGAAAACTTCAAGGATCAGTTTAATTATGTTATATGTTAAAAAAAATGAAAACCAGGAAGTTACTAGAGATTTTATGAAATGTCATGTTTTGTCAAAGTGACTTGATTCGGATTGCCTTTTGTCCCTGTAACATTCTTTGCTCCCACTGCTTTTCAGAAGGTTTTAATGTTTAAACTACTGCCAATGGGAAAATGTCATGCTTTTCCAGGTTTTATTGCTGCAAAGGAAATGGAAATAAAAACAATAGAAAATCACTGACACATGATCTATAGGCTGAACATTTAGGAAGGTATATAATCATTAGCTACTGTACATAAATACTTCAACATGTAGACAAACACAAAGGGGCTGATATCTCAAAGTGAGCCAAGAGGAACATTTCCTGTTGCCCACAGAAATCGGTCAAAATTCATGTTTGTTTTATACCAGGACTGGAGAATGATTGTTAGGTGTAGGCAATTAGACTTTTTTTTTTGTCCTCCTTAGTTCCTTTTGATACATTAGCTTTTAAGACTATTTGATCAATTTAAATACAATTAAGCATTTGTACCAGGATGAATTGGTCTTGGTAAAATATTTGAGCATTTCTAAAGTAAGCCATGCTTTCTACTGTATAAACTGTAAATGGCATTTCTGTTTCTGCCGTTTTAAAGTTTATTAAAGAAAGCCCAGCAAGATTACAATGTTGAGGATAATCTGTCAAATTCCATAAGGCCACAGGTCTGATTTTTTTAAATTCTGGAGTGATCCTTCAGTATCTGTGTATTTGTTGATATGGGTAACACGTCCACTTTATTCCATGTTCTACAAGTCCTTTCTCATGCACCTGGATGTATAAAGGCAGAGATTACTTAGATGCACTTACTTTTTTACATAGTTTACATCTACACACAGGTACAACATGGAGTTGTACCTAATAAGATTGATGTTCTAACCAAGTCCAGGTGTCTTTTGGAAATGTATTCATCCATGGAGAAAGCTTCATGTATCACCCAGCTTTCCTTTGTCTCGGCACAATACATTTTCAGTGCACTTAGGATGTGGTACTGGTCATGCAAGATCAGTGGTTTATATCTATATCTAATGTTTATTCCTCCAGAAGAGGGTGGGCATTGCAGACAGTTGCAATCATTTTGAAAATAGTTTTTAATCTATGTAACCTCTACAGATTTCTTCAATAAACATAGAAAACCATGACTCTTTCCCACTTGCATCATTTGTCTATTGCATCCCAATGTCCATAATTTATGCAGTTTTGTCAATGGTTTCATATTACTTATATGGTATTGCATAAAGTTTATTTGTTACAGTTATTTCTCTTTTGGCAGTTAGAATAGTACATGAAAGGAATTCAGTAACCCCCATTTTTATTATTTTTAAAGAAATTCCTGGAATCTTTTATAGATCAGGTCAAGGTTATGAAAAGATAGAATTATCTATATGTCTGGAAAATGTATTTCAATTGAAAGGCCTCTTTGTGGTCAGCTAACAGAAGGGGCCTAATGTCCAGGACCCATAGTGTCTAACAAAAGAAGCCTTGCTCAGGTTACTTATTTAGTGTTCTGTGTGGGCAGTAACCCCCTAGCAGCCATTGAAGCTTAGCATTTGTTGGTCTTATTACGCTCATCAACAGAAAATGTTTGGTTGTCATTGTCACTGGTCTTTGCAGTGTGTTGGCACATATGCCAGTATCAACAGTAGTAACTATACAAAAGTCCAAGGGCTGAATATTAAAAAGGTGAAAGCCCTGGACATCATACCCCTTCTGTTCTGCTGGGTTTAGGGAGGGGATTGCAAATAAATAATTTTCATGTAGATGGTTAGCTCCTTTTAAATTAAATAAGAAAGTAGTTAGACTCCTGCAGTGTACAGATTGACGAGTTTCATCTCACCTATTTAGGCTTTTTGGTGGTTTGATGCATGACATCAAAAGGAAAGCACCTTTTTTCTTGAGTGACTTCAAGGATGCATTAAGCCTGCAGTGCCTGGCCTCCGTTCTTTTCCTATACTGTGCCTGTATGTCTCCTGTAATCACTTTTGGAGGTCTCCTGGGAGAAGCCACACAAAACAGAATAGTGAGTACAAAAGAAAGATTGGTAGTGCCCAGGCTATTATTAGACCTTCTCATGAAGGTGTCCGTGTACATTTGTCTCACGTGTTCATGCTTGATCCAAAGAGTCTACTCCCACAGTATTTGACCTTCCCCCGCTTACAGCTCTGACACAGTTTGGGGGAGCCCAAGTGAACAGAAGATGCAGAGTTTGAGGTAAAACAGTTGTTTTGACGTGAGGAAGTCTAACAAGACATGGGCCCAAAGCGATCTCCAGAGTTCTACACCAGGCAACGTGGTTTTTCTTTTTCTTTTTCTTTTTTATGCTTATTTCTTTGCTTTTTAGGTTTCTGTTTGTTACTTGAATAAGGTAAAATGTTTTCAATTAGTTTTGTCAATTGTTTCCTAACTTATAAGTTAAACTGCCAAGATTTTTTTTCTGCAGCGTTCTTCAATTGATGTAGATGCACAATCTATACTCATTATGGAAACAGCCATCTTCTTTTTTAGTTGCTGCAGATGAGAACGCAGCCTGACATCACATGAAGCTGCCAATATGCCTGAATAATTACAGTTGGGTTCTTCTGAGACGCTGCCTCTGATAACCCAAATCTTGCCCCAGTCTGGCAATGGCCGTTCTCTATTTCATAAGCTCTACTCCTTTAAGGAATAAATAATTCCATATTTCAGTAACGTCAATCGTTATGCTGTGTTCTCGACTTTAATGGTTTCAAATGGCTGTTTCCATCTTGTGTCTAGTAGACAAGTGCAGTGTATAATCATGGCTGTATAGTCTATTTATGGAAGACATTCTTTTTCTTCTGTTACCTAATTTTAGAAATCTATGCAAATTATTTTCCAACGGCCCAGTCTTTGTTGCATTTAATGTATAAAATGTAAGCAGCCTTACTCCATCATAGTGTATTATGACCTATTTTGTTAGCAGATATTGGCATTTTTGTAACTTTTTAAACTTGGCGGCATTTTGATTGCCATAAAGTAATCATTTTTAGATAACCGAATGTTAGTAAAAGAGTACAAAGCCGTATATTCAAAGTTCAGTTCTGAAATTCTATTATATTGCATTTTCCATTATGACGTTACAGTGAATTTAAAGTGTTTATTTGGATAATCAAAAGTCTCACTTTCTGTTGCATAGACATAATATTGGTGCTAAATTAAATCCTGTATTTATATGTCCAGAAAACAAATGGTCCTGTTAAAGACCTGTAGAAATGTACATCTGAATGTAAATTGTTGTTGTATAATCTTTTGTGCAATAATGTCTATACTGTTCATTTAAAATTTTTCTGTGACCTGTACAGGCAGTCACACATGAAGTGTACATGTTATGTTTGCAGATTATGGGCTGTGTGTTGTCATGTGGATTGTGGTTGCATGATATGATTTCTTTTTATACCTTTTTGTCTGTTTTTGTACCTCTTTCACGTGTACTTTTTCGTTGGTGAACAAAAAAATGCAACCAGTTATTTTTGTTTCTTCTGTACAGAGTGCAATAGAGTCTCTCTTTGGAGCATCACTAACGGGCATTGCCTATTCTCTATTTGCTGGACAACCGCTCACCATATTGGGAAGCACGGGACCTGTCTTAGTTTTCGAAAAGATTCTTTTTAAGTTTTGCAAGTGAGTGTGATAAAACATTTGTCTGTTGCTCAGCATATTAATGCATCGTGAAGCCATTAGATCATGAGCAATAGTCCAGTTTAATCATATCAATTAAAGTGCATCTAACCCAAGAATAAAACTGTAAAATAGCCCATTTAACCGGTCATTAGATGTGGTGGCTGGATTTTCAGGTTTTCTTTTCTATTATTTTCACCTGGTGATCTTGCCAGTAACACTTTTCTGTCCTGGGGTGGCAACGCTGACTCACCGTACTGTATCTTTGGAGGAGCAACAGTCCTAACATCCTATGCTAGATGTTAGGACTAGAGAATGCCAGCCGCTAAATCTTATCTATATTATTTAGGGGACAGATGTTCTGTAGTCCAGAGCTGAACCGGGCAGGGCTGATAACATTGCTTGAAACAAAATTGCAGACTGCACAGGACACAGAACAGCAACATACTTCTGACAGGACACAGAACAGCAATATACTCCTGACAGTATCCACTTATGGAAAAGATATAACACAAATGCTTTCAGTACTATATTTAACAGACCAAAAGGTAGCAAATAATAGTTAGGGTTTAGATGCACTTTTTATTTTCCCAGCAATGCAGAAGTCTGTCACAATTCATTGTCACTATATCATGACATAGAGAGTAAAACAATAGCATTGTTTTTAAGACCTGCCAAAGGAAATTGTGAAACAAATACACACTGAAGCCTTGCTGACATGTAGAAGACCCAGGACACTAACATGCTGCAGTGCTAGGTATTCAAGCCTATAAACCTTTGTGTTTGTCTAGAGTCTTAGAGGACGCATCTACCGGCAGGGGCCGCCCCTAGGCTGTAATTGGTCTTTATTTTTGTGCCTAGCGTCCTTCTCCTGCAGGTGGCGATATTACCCTACAGTACAGGATCTCCGATCTGTTCCCTGTGTCCTTCAATGAACGGAGAGAAAAGGATTTTACGGTGAGTACCAAAATCCTATTTTTGTCCATCCCTTCCATTTTCAGTCATTGAGGTCTGATAATGGGGAATTGCCTCAAAGATCGCTGATAATGTGGGTTCCTCTGGTGCATCAGTTTGCAAAGCATCGGGGAGTTGAATAGTAGACCGCGATGATGCCTACTAAGAGCCAGCGTTAGCCCTACATGCTTGTCCTGGATATCCCTGCCTACATCTTTGGGCCGACATTACCCCTGTTTTAAACCTTGTTTTAAACCTTAAGGCAGGACGGAGACCACAACATCTTGACGTGCATTGCGGGCGAACTTTGGGAGGCAATCTCCCATGAATTTTACCATCCCCTGGCCAATTTTCCCCATGGCTGTGGTAGCTGGTGGTGCCAGAGTGGTTATCGGAGCAAAGCCACTGTGAAATAAAGCTGCCAGGATGTAGTAATATGTGTAATAGTGGAGCAAAGCTCAGCCCTTGCTCATTCACCGAGAGTCAGTGGTTAGACGGCAAACCTGTTGTATGGTAATTTAGAGTTTTTATGATGGAAAATGCAATAGGAGAGCTTACTACCTCCAGTGAAAACCTCGAAATCTAACCAGAAAAGTTGTATACAAATCTCAGCTTTTCCTATAAATGTTGAGCTCGACTTCGGCTCGATTATTGCATACCCTTGTAAAGGGAGGCCTCATTGACCAAATGGGGATTCTTTAGGAGTGGGACCAAGCTGTAGTAACCTTTTGTCTGTAGATCTATTATTTATTTGGACACACCACTTTCAATAGGGGCAACCTCTTTCTATGCCTTGAGTTCTATGTTAGTCTAGAAAGAATTGCCCATTTGTGGCAGGTTTACCTTATCTACCCTTTACTGACATATGTGCACCTTTTGCATGGATTAGACTATTTTCATATGTTCATTTCAATATACTGTATGTTGAAGTATATCTAAAGCCAAAGGTTTTTGTTTTTTTGGTACCTTGGCAGCCATCGTATACTGATGTATGGGGCTTTCCCTATTGACTGTGACTCTCGTGAAGATTTGTTATGTTATTGGGAACATTTAGATATGGTTATTGTGTCTTAGCAGTACCCTGTAAAACATACTTTTTGTCTTCAATTCCCCTAAAAAATAGCAATGCACTTTCTGGCACGCAAGTGTGCCTAGGCACACCTGTACTTACAACCTTATAGCTGTATATCTGACACATGAATCTAAGGTACTGCTTTCTGTGACTGCTAGACATAGTAGATTTGGTGATGTCACTGTTGTCCTTTGCTGTAGGCTTTGACGTGAGGTATAAAAGCCCTGCCTCTACCAAGATGGCTGCCTCCATACAGGGACACAGTACTAGGCATGGTATTTCAGCAATGGGGAAAATCAGTTGTAGGGAGACCACAGAAAATACTGTTAACTTGTCTTTTGTCCTCTGCCAGATTTTCTTCAGGCACAGCTTCCAGACTTTAGTTCTCCTTTAACACCAACTATGTAAATCTAATAATGTGCATGCTGCTATCTGATTATGACTAGTCTTGGAAATTGGCTCAATATTGTTTAATTAATGTGTTTATTCATAGAGATTTCAAACTGTCCTACCTGCCTTTGCGTACCAGTATCGGCTTGTGGACAGCGTTCCTCTGTTTATTACTGGTGGCCACAGATGCAAGCAGCTTGGTCTGTTATATTACGCGATTCACAGAAGAAGCATTTGCTGCTCTCATTTGCATAATCTTTATTTACGAAGCACTGGAGAAGCTGTACGACTTGGCAGAAAAATATGTTTTCAATATGCACAATGATCTCGACATGCTGACAAAATACTCGTAAGTCTAAAAAATAACTACTGTCACTCTTGACTACTTGTTGCATCTGTTTTGCGAAGATAGTAGCAGTCTGTCAGTTGTATCTGTCTCTTTCTTTTTGACAAGACTCTGACCCAGAGCCATAACCACAGATAACGGGGCCCCGTAGCAAAAAATTTGGTTGGGGGGGGACCCCCGATGACCTTTCTCTGCTCTGAGTAATGCCAAAATCCTAATGACTTCTCTTGTGCATCTGAAGTTGTCTCTACACTGCAGTAGACAACAACTCTAATCCCCTGCAAAGTCTACGACCAGTCCTACTCTTGCAACCTAATGGAGCTCCCTCCCATCCCCAGGCCCGATAGCAGCCACCTGGGCTGCTATGACTATAGTTACGCCACTGCTCTGACCAGCTGCTTTGTCACATGACTTTGTAACGAAAGCCAGATTTAAGTTTTGCACACTTTGGACACTTTTGTTTTGGTTTTTTTCTCTCCACTTTTTTTTTTTTTTTCTCTCATGTTCATTTAAGGACACAGCAGATATCTTAATTGGTTACCATTACTTGGCACCATAACCCAATGGTAGAGATTCAAGATATCCGCTGTGTCCCAAAGGTGAATGCAGAGAAAAGGATTTTACGGCGAGTATAACAAATCCTATTTTTACAAAGCCTTTGTAATATTTTGTTCTTGTATAAAAATGAAATATGCTAAGATAATGAAGCACAACACAAATGAACATGCCTTGAAGTATTGATATTTGTTTTGAAGAAATATGGACCTGTTAATAATAATTGTCATGTATCTTAATGACCTCATTTGTTTTAGGGCCTGTTCACACCTGTCTGTTTTCCTGCCACAAAACACATTCTTACTGTATGAAAATTGACTTCAAGCAGAAAAATACTAGCATTTGTGGCTGGATTGCATCTATAAACTGCTGTTTAGGGTGCTTTGAAAGGGAATTACAAGGGTCCATGCACTCCTATGAGCGTATTACCACCTGCACTGGGATGTGCGTTCATAGGTGTGGATGTCTAGCTAAACTTCTAGTTATTTTTTTCTACATCGTCAGGTTAATTATTCATAGTTTAATAGTGTTGTAATTGGCAATGGGACCATTATAAGCCTGATAAAAAAACAGAGCTTGGAAGGCATGATTTTGCAGAAAGACGAGACACCCTCAAGCTGATAAGGAGAGGCTTTTTTCAGCCCAAATTAATAATATAGAAGAAATGTTTTTTTCCTGTCATATTCTTTCAATGAGTCTGTTTTCAGTTTCAGACCTTGATTTATGTCTTTTCACTGTTATCCAGATGTGTTTGTGCTGAGCCAGACAACCCTGACAATAAGACGCTGGCCTTTTGGAGTGACACGAATATTACTGCCAGTGAAGTAACATGGAATAACCTCACTGTCTCTGTAAGTCTGTGGACTGATAAATGTATGGGTTTTTTTTTTTTTTTTACAAGAGTCAAAGAAGTTTTATTCTGATGTTTGTTAGGTGCTTGGTGTGAGTGTGTCTCATATTGTGTACATATGTGTATATATGGAGGAGAAGGGGATTGAAAAACTACAAGGTAGGTGCCACAAACTGCTTTCTGTAGTGGACCTCTGGTCTGTGGTTTGTTATAATTTTTAGAACAGACTCCACTGAGCACAAAACTGGTAACATAACATAAAACCTCACTGTAGTTTTAGAAAAAGGCAAACCCGTTATGTTAAACACAAAAACCTGTACCACTAAGCCCTCATTCACACCTCTGCTATGTGACATAGCAGAGGTTCTGCAGAGTTCGCTTTTGGTGCGCTGCGGTAGGCAGCCCATTGATTTGATTGGACAATCATATGTTCATGTTAGTCAATCAGTTTGACTAACTAAATTCTAGGATGATCATCTGATAGTACAGCACTGCGTGTGAATTACATGGTGTTAGTCCAGCCCAAATTTTTGTAGCTTCAGATAGAAGATAAGTCTCCAGTGGAATGATATAACTCCTTTTTGGTTTTCATGATCGCGATCATTGGAGCAGGATGTGAGGGAGAATCTTTTCAGCAAGGACACAGAAAGCAATGAAAAGCTGACCCAAGGTTCTAAGCTTCCTAATACTGTTGAAAACTACAAGAAAACTGTTTCAGCTGGTGTTCTGCTTGCTATAAGTTAAGTAGAACTCCAACTGAAACATAGTTTTCTTGTAGTTTTGTGGTTTAAGACGTGGTACAGTAACTTTCCACCTTATATTGAGTGATAGTGGTGTCTGGTCTGCATCTAGCAGAGTGGAAGTAAAGCAGTGTGAACATTTTAATAGGATCAGACAGAACAGAATTACACTTTCTTGTCTGTATTTTTTTTTCTTTTCAGGAGTGTATTGCACATCATGGTTCATATGCAGGTTCTGCCTGTGGTCAACATGGTCCTTATATTCCCGATGTCTTCTTCTGGTCTGTCATCTTATTCTTTACAACATTCTATCTCTCATCTTTTCTGAAACAGTTCAAGACCAAGAATTATTTTCCCACCAAGGTAAACATTTCCTGCACTTTTCTGCGAATATCTCACAATAGTGGTGAATCTGGGGTCATGTTTTGCTTTGTAATATACACCAACTATTCCCACTGTAAGCTGTTAATTCTGTTTACAGTTTAGTGAACTTTCAGGTCCAGTGTACTCAAGCACATAGTTTGAATTATGATTGCTATGTTTACTTAAAGTTGAACTCCCGGCGCACAAATGCACAAGGCAAATTCAGGTACCGATGTTTTTTTTTAGTACTTGCCGATAACGTATACCGATACGAGACGGGGGACCATGGAGCCGGCTTCCTGGCCAATCAGGAAGCTGGGTGGCGTGTAATGACTTGCCGCCTGTCTTCCTGATACCGGAAGTTCTGGAGGATTTGGGGTGAGTACTCCCAAATACTCATTATCTGCACTGACACTGGTATCAGTGCATCCCTAAAATATATAAAAAATATATTCAAAACCAGCTTCCCTTTTAGAAGAAAGTTGCTGGCAAAATATTCTTCGGGGTATCTGGAATTTCTTATACGGTTTAAAGTTAAAAGAAGATTGTGCCTATGGGTCCTTCATGCTTCCTCATAAATTGTATTTCTACAGGTACGCTCTACAGTAAGTGATTTTGCGATCTTCCTCACAATAGTCATTATGGTAGCCATTGACTATCTCGTGGGTGTTCCTTCTCCAAAGCTGCACGTTCCTGAAAAATTTGAGGTAATTCACATACGTCTTCTAATCTAGATCATTACTTTAAATGCTATATAACCTCTCAGTAAAGGGATCTTTTCTTCAGAAATTCATTATTACCCTCTGTGAAAATATGATTTTTTTATGGCTATTTTTTTATATGCAGTCTTTACAATCTTCTAGTTTTTCTTTTTTTACAGCCCACATTAAAGGGCCGAGGATGGTTTATAGATCCTTTGGGAACAAATCCTTGGTGGACTCTACTGGCCGCTGCTATCCCCGCCTTGCTTTGTACCATTCTAATCTTTATGGATCAGCAAATCACAGCTGTGATTATTAATCGAAAAGAACACAAACTGAAGGTATTATCACAACTTGCCTCTGTTAACTCTAATAACATTTGTATCAGGTCCCTGACCAGTGGCAAGTTACCTGTGGCTCTAGGCTCCTTTTTGGTGTTGATGCCTGTAGCCTCTTAGCAGGTTCTGAATATCTTACCTGAGAATATACATATAACCGTAGTATCAGTATTATCTAACTGCTATAGCTTCTAGCAAATAATTGGGGGTGCAATTTATGTATTGTTTATATATAACATTTAGACTAGTGTGAAAACAATTTCTATTCACTGAAGGCGGTTATTTTGATTTGAACCAGCCTTAGTCAGAATACATTCAAGAAGTTGGGGAGCCAGGGCCCTACAATTATTCTCTTATGTGGTTGTGAGAGATGGATAGACCCACCCACTCTTGACTTTACCTTCGCTGTAGTTGATCTGAGGTTGTCCAATTTCTTATTTAGCGCTCATTATAAAAACAATTTTGTGAGCATTTTTTAAAATAATTTTTGTACCTTAAACTCTTGAACTATTTAGATTTTTGTACTGGTTGGTTACAGACTGAAAGGGAGCAGCAGGAGGGCTGAGCCATATGAGACAATGTCTACATAGTTATAGTTAGTCAGTTTAAAAAAAAAGACAAGTCCATCCAGTTCAACCAAGATTATAAAGACAGTTTCAAGGGGCATCTTAACATGAGTGTGAAATCTTTGGATCAGCCAGCATTTTAGTCTGGAAGTAGAGGGTGACCCTTAGGGGTCCATTTACGCTATTGCACTGAATTAGTGCACGCTTGTTAATCTCATCATTTAACGTGAGTTGCATTAAGACAGCCCATTAAAATTAATGGGCTGCCTAGCCTTAAATGCATCAAACAAAAAGGTGCATTAGCATTTCTGCAACATTTGTTAATGTATTGCAATGCACGTCCGCTGACAGGGTGTGTTGTGCTGCCAGAAACCGTGCATGCATCTTTTCTGATGCCTTTTGACACAGTAGGCAGTCCAATATGAATGGACTGCCATAATGTGTGGCATAAAGCGCCTATGCCAACACACCACAGTGGTATAAATGGTGATGTCTTAGCAAAGATAGTGCTGGCCTTTAGTGGGGAAAAGAAGATGAAGACATTGTCTTTGTGAGTACTGTGGACTCTTAAAGAGGTAATAAATACCTGTAAGTGTTCTACTTACACGTTAGTTAACATGCATGCATGGAAAAAATATATCTGATGCCAGGTCTGCTATCGGTCTGCTATAAGTCTGCACATTTTCAGCTTCTTTTGTTCTAGCAATGTGTCTTATTCCTGAATGTATAGAAACCATAGGCTAGTATAGGGATTGATGAGCAAGGAGTCATGATTACTCACTTCCTATAAAATGTGTATTGGTGCCTTCAGATATTGGCACTGAAAATTTCCATCAATTAAAGGGTTAAAAATGAACTCCTTTTATTTGATTGGTTGTTGGACTAACCAACCCCTGCCCCTATTTAAAAATGCAGGAACAATTAAGGACTTTAGCTTTAGAAAGTAAGTAAGGAACCAGTCAGCTTATACTCCTAAAAATAAAATATCAGCTTGGTACAAAAGTTGGCCAGATTGAGCTTGTACTGTAGTCATGGTCAGGACAGGCAGACATCTCATTTACTGTCACATTTGATAGGCATTCTAGGAGAACCATGATTACAGATGGCATTGAGATGAACAAGAGTGGCTTTATGGTTAAACTGATATTCTTTGCTTGCTTTTACAGAAAGGGTGTGGCTACCATCTTGACTTATTCATGGTTGCCATCATGCTGGGCGTTTGCTCTCTCATGGGTTTGCCATGGTTCGTAGCTGCAACTGTTCTATCCATCAGCCATGTTAACAGCTTAAAAGTGGAATCTGAATGTTCCGCTCCAGGAGAGCAGCCAAAATTCCTGGGCATCAGAGAGCAGAGAGTGACAGGTCTTCTGATCTTTGTTCTGATGGGACTGTCTGTATTTATGACCTCTGTTTTAAAGGTAAGATAGCAATGATGATCTATTCATAGCAGCATTCTTGCACAAAAATGTTTTGGGTGTCTTTCATTGCATTCCTTTCACAAGAATTGTTGTGATGAGCACAAAGCATTATATTATATACTTGTATATATTCACATAATGAATACTTCATATACTTGTAGGCTAAAAGTGACATTTGAAGCATTTCTACTATCTTGAAGGTAAAATGTATTACTCATGCTTACTGTTGCATTCCATTGGAACTTCTGATATTTTAGAGATGCAGGAAAAGAATGAACCTACGCCATCAGCGTATATGGGGCAAGGAACAAAAGCTTGAATGCAAGCACAACGTTTCTTTTGTTTGCTGTGTCATAGTTCGTCATAGCCCATAGTGTAAATCCACCAGTTTGTCCAGACTGTTAACAATGGCACAGCAGGCCGGTCACACAGGCTTTGGCTGTTCAGTGTCTTTGTTGAGTTGCAATTAACAGGAATTAATGAAATAACATGTTAGAGAGTTTTGGCTACAGTCCAAACTCAGACAAAATAATTTTTTTTTAGGATTAGATAGAATGTCTGAACTTTTTATTTTTGTCTGTGTTCTCCTTATCTCCTGTGTATGTGAAGGGTGTCATGCAGACACGTGTATAGGGTCCCCCATTATCAATGGGGGCACAGAGAGCAATATAAACAAATCCTCTAGTAGAGCGAGCAAAAATGAAGAGCCTCTGCCAGGAATTTAGTGTTCCCATTTTTATGGCGAAACGCTCTTCTCACTTCCTGTCCAGATGGATGACAGCAGAGAAATCTCCTTGGGGACAGACCAGTTCCAAAACTTTGTTTGATTTAATCCATCCTCACTTCTTCCTTTCTCTGATTCCCTGTGGTATGTTGGCAGTGCAATTAATGTGGAACTGGTATGGTGACAGGGGTTAGTCCCTGACCAGTTTGTATAAAGATTACATCCAGCAGGACGAAAACAAATGTGTATGTATATGTAACAGAGTAAAGTATTATCTAGATGTAGTTAATTCTGTAGCTGATGATGACACATCCTTGCTAATGTCTTGTTTGTATCATTACAGTTCATTCCAATGCCAGTTCTGTATGGTGTCTTTCTGTATATGGGAGTGTCTTCTCTAAAGGGTATCCAGGTAAGTCTTCCAAATACAGAATTCCTAAAAATAAAACAAAATACACAGCGGTATGAATGTAGTACAGAGTTGAGCACTCTGGGGAATGTAATGTATAGCATGGCGCACACAGTGCAGAAGTTGGTGGTACGTGGTGTGCCACTACATTGGCAGCAGCCATTGCAGAAGAGTGTGTGGTGGTAGTGGTGGTCAGTGGATGCGTGCACATACTGTATGTGTCATTGTTTACTTACCTACTGGCCCTCCTGCTCTGGGTCTCCAGGAGGTAATGTAGGCACAAATTACAGAGTCATTGGTTGGTGGATCAAACTACCCACACGCTGCCTGTGCAGACATGCACAGTTGACCGTTTTCCGTCAACCATGCTGTCTTGTGCTGTATATGGCAGCGGACAGCACAGTTCGTGGGAAAACTTAACATTGCATGTCTGCGGCACATAGACTTGCGACTGTTGCCCACTTAGCTGCCAAGCCCTGCATCTGCTAACAAAAAAAATGTGGGTTGCTGGGTCTAAAACCGTAGTTCTCAACCTGTGACCTCAGGACCCACATTTGTCTTTGGTCATTAAGTCGTGACCCAAGTTGCACGGCATTAGGGTACCATGCGTTCTGGTGCAGGGGCGTACGAACTGTGGGCGGTGCGTTTGCGGTACCATGCAAATGAATGACAACGTGGTACAGTGCGTTAATCACATGGTACTATGTTATTAATGCACTCTACTAGTGTGAACGGAATGGAGCTCTCAAGGCCATAGCCCCATCCCACCCCAACTCGGCGCCAGGCAGCATATTTTGAATGTCTACTTGGCACGAGAACTGACTGCTGTGCTAGGGCGAGGCAGAGGAGCCTCTCGCCTAGAAAAGTGGAAGGCTTGTGGCGACCCACTGAAAACGGGGTCGCGACCCACCAGTTGAGGACCTAGGGTTTAAAATTTAATATAGGTATAGGAAATATATATAATATACTGTGTGTATCTATGTATATTTATATATTTTTATTATTATGTAGGTATAGGATATTCATTGCAATGTTAAAGAGCTAGTAAACTATTGTAATATATGTATTAAATAATTCCAAACATGCATGTTCCTTTGTCCGTGCATAACGCGAGAATGTAATCCGCGTCATATTAATGTAAATACAGAATATTGCTCCACATTACTTACTCTTCTTTTGCCTGCCTACCTGCAGTTCTTCGACCGGATAAAGCTATTTGGAATGCCAGCCAAACATCAGCCAGACCTCATCTACCTCCGTTATGTCCCCCTCTGGAAAGTGCATGTGTTCACTGTCATCCAACTCACTTGCCTCGTTCTTTTATGGGTCATCAAAGTATCTGAAGCTGCTGTTGTGTTTCCCATGATGGTAATCAGTCAGTCATTTCCAACATTTTGAATTTTTTTTAGTAATTCAGTGCTGACTGCTCATATTAATTGTTGACTG